ATAAGCAGGCAGGAAGTACGGAGGCAGAAGGGCTTGTCAGCTGGATGTTGGTTTATGCAGTGTGCATCGCAGTGACCAGCCATTTCTAGGAGACAGAAGCAACTGGAACTGGAACTGTTACCTGGGCAACTAAGAAACTGAAGTACACTGGCTGGAGGCACCTTCTGTTATGGAATGAGGTTAGGGAGACGTGGGGAACTGCAGTTTTGCAGAAAAGCACTATCCAAATAAGGCTGTAGCAGTGCAACTGTTGAATTGTTTAACGACAGTCACATTTCTGCAAAACTCTCAAAAGGAGGCTAAAGCAAGTGACAGTGGGCTGGTCCCTCGTTAGGGCTGCACGGGAAGGAAGACCCCCATTGAGCCGATGGAGAGCAGCGATTCACGAGTGACAGTGACAGTCGTCCCACACAGTGACCCTCCTCTCCGTTGTCTCCCACACACCAGCCTTGAAGGTGTTCAGAGGCCAGTGCAGGTGAATCTATTTTTCTTTATATTTTGTATCATATCACACTATTGTAACCCTTTTTATGAGTATTTTTGGGATGGGAACCAATCATCTGCATTTCCATTCTTTCTTTTTTTGTCTCTTTGAGACAGGGTCTCACTATGCAGTTCAGGCTGGCCTTGAGCTCACTTTGTAGCCCAGGCTGGTCTCAAACTCGCAATGATCCTCCTGCCTCAGCCTCCCAACTACTGGGAACAGGTGTGTGCCACCACGCCCGGCTCTGTTATTTCTTATGGGGAAATTTGCTTTGTTACACAAGTACTCTGGATTATAAGCATGTTTCCAGAAAGAATGATACTCGAAACCAAGGTTTTACCATATGGCTGCTTTGACAATACTGGTTCTGCCTGTGCACGAACAGGGGATGTCTGTCCACGTTCTGATGTCCTCTTCAACCTCCTTTCTCAGGGTACTGTCATTTTTGTTGTAGAAAGCTTTCATTTCCTTGGTCACACTGGTAGAGCTTAATGTTTTTCATTAAATTTGGGCAACTTTTGACCATAATTACTTCAAATCCTGTCTGTGCCCCCGCTTCCCAGGCCCCACCAGCACCCTGGGGCTCTGCTCCTTCTCCTGGTCTGTCCTTTTGGTCTTCAAATCCGATGGTTAGAAATTAACTTTTAGTTTGCTGATTCTTCTACCAACTCAAGCTCATTATTTTACACAACAAATTTGTCATTTTGTTCTTTAAAATCACTTCTCGTTATTCCATGTGGTGAGACACTACTTTCATGTTGTCAGTTTAAAGAAGAGTGGTTTTCTTTTGGTGCTGGGGATTGAACCCAGGCCTCTCACATTGTACATGTGAACTACAACCCTAGGGCCTTTTGTTGTTATTTTGTTTTTTGGAGACGGGGGTCTTGCTACGTAGTTCAGGCTGCCTTTGTAGCCCAGGTTGGCCTTGAACTCACAGAGACTACAACCATGTAGCCCAGGTTGGCCTTGAACTCACAGAGACCCTCCTGCCTCAGCCTCCCAAAGGCTGGGATTACAGGTATGCACCACCACACCCAGACTGTTTGTTTTTTACATTTTTGAGACACACTCCTGCTAGGTTGCCCAGGCTAGATCTTCCTGCCTCAGCCACCTGAGTAGCTGCACTAATAGGCATGCTCCACCATGCTCAGCTTGTCATTTAATTCTGCAGACAGGTGTTGGAAGCCCCTGAAGCTGGAAAATGATTACATGTGCAGGATGAAGCCAGCTGAGAACACAGGAGCTCCTCGGAGTAACAAGCCCCTTGGAGTAAACAGCCTTTTAACTTGTTAACTGGTTGCTGGCCCCCTTGGAGTAAACAGCCTTTTAACTTGTTAACTGGTTGCTGGGCCCCTTGGAGTAAACAGCCTTTTAACTTGTTAACTGGTTGCTGGGCAGCGAGACAAAAATTAACCAACCTCTCCAGGGTATAAATAAACGCTCTACTGTTTTGGGGAAGCCCTCCTGCTCATCAGGCAAGAGGTAACTCCACCTGACCCCAGCTATCCTCTCTTTTCTTTATTTTCTAAATCTTCTCGCTGTTTTCTCCCGGGGACCACCAAGAGACCACCGAGAGACCACCGAGAGACCACCGAGAGACCACCGAGTCCCACAGACAGGCGTGGTAGCAGCCGGCTTTGAGTCACACCTGGTGAGCTCACACCTGTGCTGCCTTGGTGCTGCGCCTGCTGGGGCCTGTCCCGGCTTGCAGGTCCCCACAGTTCTGCTCGTTTGGTTCTGGCTCAGAGCGACACACGAGCACCACATACGGAGGCCAGCAGGGCTGGGCTCATCGCTGCTGCTGGCAGGGTTCTCCTGGGCTCATGAGCCGCGTTTGCCTTCCCTCTGGCAGGCAACAGGTGGCCTGGCGCTGGGCGCAGGCTGAATAGCTCACTTAGAGGCCCTGCCCTGCGGCCGTCTCTCTGCTCCTGGCACAGCCTCGAGGCTCCGCTGGCATCCAGCCTTTTGCTGGGCCCAAGGAGCAAGCTAGAGCATCTCATTACCTCCCGGGCACAGTTTCCCGGGAGGGTGCTGTGGTCCATGGAGGCGTCTTGTCCCGAGCTGCCTGCTGCATCTTGATTCGCCTCCTGACTGGCACCTTGGGCTGGAAGCCCTGATGTCCAGCAGTTGCTGCTGGCCATCCCTGGCCATTGCCATGGGAAAGCCCTTTCCCGGGAGCTGCAAGGTCTGATGGTGGCTGCCACGCAGGCAGCACCTGGTTCTCCAGGTGCCAGGGTGGACAGCAGAGGGTGGAGATGCAGCCACCTGTTGGCCTGGGCCTCACTGGTCATCTTGCACGGAGGCGGCCAAGGCGATCACCTCCTGTGGCCTGGATGGGTAGGGGAGTTTCTGGAGCTCTGCACTCCGCTGTTCTCAAGTCCTCCATTTCCTAATAAATAATGTGCTCCACAGTAGCTCCTCAGAGGTTTTATCTGTGGCAGAATCATTGTCTCAACTAGGGCTACTTTGAATTTGTTATTTACATCCTGTTTCTCTGTTTTGGGGACTTGAACAGGTACACACTGGCTGTCACTCTAAGTTGGAGACTGCATTAAGGTGTGAATCTTTCTGAAAAAATGGAAAACGTCTCCCACTTTTCTAAACAATAGGAACAGGGCTTTGATAACCGAAATGTAACACAAAGGAACATGAGTACATCTACTTCCTGTGTGGTCACAGGCCCAGGTCAGGGCACAGCAGTGCAGCTCTGCAGCGGCTGAGGCTCCTCCTCTTCACATGCTGCAGGCGCCACCCATGACTGGCGCGGCTGGGCCCTGCATGTGCTCCTTGCAGGGTCAGCAGCTCAGACAGGCGCTGTCCCACCTTGTGGGGCCGGCAGGTGGCTCTGCCCCAGTGACAGCACCTGGGGCTGGAAACCCTGTGGCGCTGGGCTGCAACCTCCTCCTGACACCCCCCCCCCGTCTGTGTTTCATCTGGCTCTCCAGCCTCCCCAGCCGTGCCTGTGGCTGCTCTGGTGCCAGGTGGTGACACAGGTGTGTCTCAGCCTGCACAGGTCTGGTCTCCCTGCTGGGTCCTCTGGCTGAAAGGTCACAGCCCTCGCCCAGGCCTGTCACCACCTGGACAGAAATCCTGGATGGACACACCACTGAACTGGATCCGGAAAGTTCTCTGCCATCCCACCTTCAGCATCCAGCTTTTCTTGAAAGCACTCTGCCTCCTTCAGGTTCTCTGCAGCTGGGAGACACTCATCCTTGCTGAGCCAAGGCCTCCACTAGAGCAGAGGTCCCCAGTGGCTTCCCCAAGGGCCATGTGTCACCCTTCTGCTGTCTCCTGCCTCTGTGCCTCATGGGGGCTGTGACACTGGTGAGGCGCTGAGCCTCTGAAGGCCTCAAGTCCTAGGGCGAGGCCAGCAGACAGGACAGCAGCAGGTCTGGCACCTCGGTGTCCTCACAGCCTGTGTGAGTAGGCTCAGGGCATGTGTTCTGGGTCTATGTGCACACGTGTCCAGCGGCAGTGGTGCTGTCATCTGTCTAGTGTAGCAGGCCAGTGCAGAGCTATGTGGGACCACACACACGGGTCAGAAGGCTATAACTTTTGCCATCACGGGCCCTATGCAGCTGGGCCCAGGAACCCTCCTCTGGTGTTGAAAAATTCAGGCAATGTTTGTTTTTTTTTTTCTTTTTGAGATAGCGTCTTGCTATACAGTTCAAGCTGGCCTTGAGCTCACTTTGTAGCCCAGGCTGGCCTTGAACTCTCAACGCTCCTCCTGCCTCAGCCTCCCGAGTGCTGGGATTACAGCCCGTGCCTCCACGCCCACCCAGGCAATTTTAAAAGAAGAAACTGGGCTTAAAAGCAGCGTTTGGGATGCAGTTCTGTAGCTCAGGGAAAAACTACAACTGAGGTTTAGAAAAGGACACAGGAGAGGTATAGGCTCCCACCCCGCCGTTGGGCTGAACCGAAGGGCTGCAGGGCCAGAATGAGCGTCGGTGCCCTGTGCTGGAGGAGGGGCAGCCCTGGCCAGCAAGGGGCTGGGAGGGAGCCTTGGACCTGCTTTCCCAAGGGGCCGTCTCTGAAACCCCTCCTCTCCAAAGATAAGCAAGAGAAGCAGTGAGGGTCAATGCCAGCCTGTGGCAGGCTCCTCCTGGGGCTGAGCACTGGGAAGGGCCCCACCCTGCTGCTCCCCTGCGGCCACCTGGGGACCCCCGGGGCTGGGGCCCTGTGCTCCTGGATGGTGGGCGGGCAGCCCTGGCCTCCGGGCTTGCAGCACACCACCAGCATGGGGACTGGCCTCACTGTCCTTGGGTATCCAAGGAAGCACCATTCCAGCCTTATGGAGAGAGGTTATGGTTTTTGGAAGGAAAAGTATCATTTGTTCCAAAATTAAAAGGTAACAAGTTGGAAGGAAAAAAATGGTTAAGATAGGGTTAGACACCTGCCTGGCAAGCGCAAGGTCGTGAGTTTGATTTCTGGTACCAGAAGAAAAACAAAACAAAACCAAACAAAGACAGGGTTAGAGCCTCCTGAGAGGGAGGTGCTGGCCACTGAGCTGTGCGTCTATATACAAAGAGCATTTTAATTAATTTATTTATTTCTTTACACATAACTGAAGGTGATGTTACAGTACATAAGTTATTTACAACTGTGCAGTAATGTGTTGCAAAATAAATTATCTAGAAGGCAGCAAAGTACATTGTGAAGGTGTATAAAACTGTACAGCGTCCGCGGATACACTCTGTATAGGGTTATTGGCTCTGTAGTGTTTCAAGTTACGTTCTCAGAAAGAGAAACAAAATGCCCAAGATTAAAGGAAAAAATATACAAACCACGTGGATTTGACTCCATTAAAAACACTGCTGGAGAGTCCTGGCTGCATCCCTCTGTGGCCAGGCAGGTGGCAGCCGGGCCCTCACCACACCAGGGTCCCGGCATCCCCATCGGCCCTGAGGACGGGCCAAGGTGGCGCAATCCTGCCTCTGACCTGGAGATCACTGCTGAGGGGTGACGCCTTGGTTCACGTCCTGCAGGTGATCAGAATGAACGAGGAATCTGAAGCGCTCTGTCCTGCGGCTCCTCCTGGGCGCTGTTCTCCAAGACAGAGCTGCCGTCCCCTCGCACCGCGTTCTCCTCCTCCTGCCAGGGGGCAGGGCTCTGTAGCCCGGCCTGGGGATCCCACAGCAGCTGGTAAAGAGACGGGCTCCGCCTCCCTAGCATCCGGCCAGTCTGGAAGGGGAGGCATGGGCCAGGTGCAGTCTCTCCTCCTCCCACCTGGCGGTGCGGTCCTCCCTCCTTCACTGCTGGGACTCATGGGCAGCACTGGCGGCTGAGTGGCCCTCGCCGGTCCTACGGCCTTCCTGTGGGTGTCACGCTGGCAGCAGCACAAAATCGTCGTTAACGTCAACCATGGGCACATAGAAGGAGGGCACCTCATTCACACACAGGGTCTTGTGTCCGGCAGGGTCTAGCTCCTGTGCCTTCAGCTGCCACTCCATCCTCTGCACGGCATTGAGGGCCGCCGCCTCGTGCTGCTGCCGCATCAGGAGACACGTCTGTGGGACAGAAGGGGGTGAGGAGGGTGACCTAGGCCTGGCCCACCCTGCTTCCTGGGGCCGGCAGGCTGCAGCTGGCTGGCCCAACTCCTCCACTCACCCACCCTGGTGCGGCCAGGCCCTCTGGAGCCCACAGCTGCCTGTCTGTGGCCTGGACGGCTGGGGGCTGTGTTGGGCCCATGGCCCACCTGTCACATGGCGGAGCAGGAGGCCTGGCCCCACAGGGCTCTGCAGTGCCGCCCTGGCGTCTGACTAGGATCTGACAGCACTGTGCTCTCACTGCTGCTATTCTCAGTGGTGTGTTGCTCTCTCTTTATTGCCAGGAGAAGTGCCACCACCTAGGCGTGCACACAGGTGGGGGGGGCATGCTGAGCACGGAGGGGCAGCCTCACGCAGGCACAGTCCCGCCACGTGGTGCCTGCGCCCGAGCCTCTGAGCTCAGGAAGGGCAGCCTCCTGACTCCAGCTGCTGGGTTTCCTGGTGAACATCTGTGCGCCCATCTCTGTTTTCAGTTACTAAGAAGAAAGTGCTGGGCTGGAAGGTGAAGTCAGTTTGCTGAACAAGGTTCCACTGACATTTCTTCCATCATGTAGGCCAATCACTGCCACTCTAGCCAGCACCAGTCCTTCAAATGGGACTTCGTAATAATTGCTGGTTCTGAAGCTAATCACCACACTCAACATGTTTTCATCAGCACTTGGCCATTTTCCAATCTCTTTAATGAACACAGACACCAAAAACCCTGAACAAGATACTGGCACACAGAATGCAACAAATCAAGAAGATCACACCCCATGACCAAGGGACACAATGGCCCAGCACATGCAATTCACACACAAGCGGGAAGGAAGGACAAAAATCACACGATCTCCACAACAGATGCAGAAAAAGCCTTTGACAAAATCCAACATCTATTTATGATAAAAACTCTGAAGAAAAATCTGATAAAAACTATGATAAAGCTCCTGCCACCATCATGTTAAATGGGGGAAACCTGATAGCTTTCCTCTAGAATCAGGAAGGAGACCAGGATGTCCAGGACTATATACTACTGTCGCTCGGAACACTGACCAGAGCGATGAGGCAAGACTTACTAGTTTCTAAGCGTTCTTTTCACATAATGCAATATCGTACATGGCTTTTTAAATGTATAAACTCATTATTTTAACATGCTCAGCTGGGCATGGTGGTGCACATCTATAATCCCAGCACTTGGGAGACTGAGGCAGGAGGATTGTTGTGAGTTCAAGACTCGTCTGGGTGACAAACTGAGCTCAAGGCCAGCCTGAACGGCAAGACCCTGTCTCCAAAACAAAAACAAAGCACCTCATTAAGAGAAATAAAAAGGTTACATATAAGAAGGGACGAAGTTAAAGTATCACTTGCAGCTGACATTATCATCTACATAGAAAGCCCAAAAAATTCCACCCAGACTTCTAGAATAACCAAATTCAGTAATGTAGCAGGATACAAAATCAACATGCGAAGAATCAATAGCATTACCATACACCAAAAATGAACTCACCAAAAGAGAAACTAGGAAAACAACACTATTCACAATAGCATCAAGAGGCAGGCTTGGTGGCGCATGCCTGTAATTCCAGCACTTAGGAGGCTGAGGCAAGAGGATAGCCAAGAGTTTGAGGCCAGCCTGCATTACAAAGTGAGACCCTGTCTCACAAAATACAAAAACAAAACAAAACCCAATAGCATCAAGAAAAATTAAATACTTAGGAAGTAACCTAGCCAAGGAAGTGAAAGCCATCGAAAAAAATCATAGTGTAGTAACTCCCTGACTTATGAACAAGTTCCATTCTGGCAGAACTTTTCCTAAGGTGGGTTCATCTGCAAGACAACAAGGAGTCTTACAGTACACTTATGAAAGTTCCAATGCAAATACTCTTCAGTCTAGGACCCACTTTACTCTGAAAAAGGCCAAAGAAGATCTCAGGAAATGGAAAGACACCCCATGTTCTTGGGTAGGCAGAACTAATATAATCAAATAGTGATACTTCCAAAATTGGTAAGACAGATTTAAGGCAATCCCAATGTACCAACTGCATTCTGCACAGAACTAGAGAAAACAAGCCTAAAAGTCATATGAAACTGGAAGAGACCCAGAATAACAAAAAGCAATCATGGCAACAAGAGCAAAGCAGGAGGCGTCACAATCCTGGACTGTAAATTATACTACGAGGGTGCAGGGAGAAAAAAGGTGTGGTCCTGGCACAAAAGCAGACATGTGGGTTAACGCAACAGGACAGAGTACACAGAAACAACCCCAAACACGTTCAGCCACCAGCTTTTGACAAAGGGGCCACAAAGATCCACTGGAGGAAGATGGCCTCTTTAGTAACAGAGCTGGTTCACTGGCTTTCCACATGCTGAAGATTAAATCTAGACTCTGACATTTCACCATGCACCAAACAAAATCAAAGTGGATTAAAGTCTCAAGGTTAACACAGCAATACTTTTACCCACAGGAAGGTAAAGCAGGTAAAACTCTTGAAGACACAGGTGTGGAGAAGACTTCCCGAACAGAACCCTAGTGGCACAAGACACAGCGCCAGAACCAACAGATTGGACAAGCTCCTGAAGAGACCACCTAGAGAAGAGGAAAGCCCTGCCAGCTGTCCCTCTGGACTAAGATCTAGAACATATAAGGAGCTCATTAGATACCCTGACACAATAAAAGACCCCGTCAAAAAATGGATCACTGGGGGCTGGGGATTTAGCTCAGAGGCAAAGCGCTTGCCTGGCAAGCACAAGGTCGTGAGTCCGGTTCCCGGTACCGGAGAAAAACCAAAAAAAAAAAACAAACAAAAAACAAAAAACAAAAAATGGGCCACTGAAATGAACAGACCCTGCTCAGAAGACAAATAGCCAGTAAATGTGTGAGAAATGCTCAGCTCCGCCAGCCATTATGGAAACGCAGATGAAAACAACACTGAGATTCTGTCTTACTCCAGAAAGAATGGCCATCATCAAGGAATCAAGTAATAAATGCTGGCGAGGTTAGGCTGCGGCTGGGAACACAGGTTAGTACAATCACTATGGAAATCAGTATGTAGATGCCTCAAAAAACTACAAAATAAAATTCCATTCAACCCAGCTATTCCCTCTCCAGGTACCTTCCCTGAAGAGTCAACATATCCTGTTACAGTGATACGTGTATAACCATGTACATAGCAAAAAATTCATTGTAACTAATTCTTGGGAACAGACTGTATTGTATGTCCATCGACAGATAAATAGATAAAAAAAGTGTGGTACTACACACAAAGGAGCACTACTCTGCCATAAAGAAGGATAAATATGCATCATCTGTAGGAAAATGGATGCAGCTTAAGACCACAATGTTAAGTGAAATAAATCTGACACGTAAGCTTAAATATTGCATGGTTTCTTTCACATGAGAAACCCAAAGTACAAATACAGAGCAAAATAAAAGATGGATAATAAGAAACAGGAAGACTGGTGTTTTGCAAAAGAGGAGACCAAGAGATGGAAGGAGGGGAGGAAGAGGAGGGAGGGACATGAAAAAATTAAACTGTGTCTTGTGCACGCACCAGCGCCCCGTGCGGAGTGTAATCTCAGGTATGCAACACGGGCTAATAAAATATAAAAATTTAAAAAAGAGATTTGACCATTTATTTCTTTTGTCCTAGAACGACCCTTTGTATACTTTTTTGGGGTCTACCTTTTTTCTTTCTTTCTTCCTTCTTTTTTTTTTTCGTCTTTCTGAGACAGGGTCTCACTATGCAGTTCAGGCTGGCCTTGAGCTCACTTTGTAGCCCAGGCTGGTCTCGAACTCACAACGATCCTGCCTCAGCCTCCTGAGTGCTGGGATGACAGGCGTGCGCCACCACACCGGCCCCTTTTTCTTATTTCTAAGCGTCCCTTTCACATAATGCGATACTGTACAGGGCCTTTAAATGTATAAAAGCATCATTTAACGTGCTCTTTAACGAAGCTTGCTCATCTGGTAGTCTTCCCTGGGTCTTTCACTTGGGACAGGTGCCTGGGGAGGCCCGAGGGGAGCTGCCCCTCCACAGACGCCTGGGTACTCCTCTTGCATCTTCAGGGCCACACCAGCACGTGCGCAGCGTGTGTGCTAACCGCCGGCAGCTTTGTTTAGCTGGCAGCTGTGGAGCTCGGGTGGGACCTGGACTCTGGCCGCCCCCCTCTCGAGGGGAGGAACAGCAGGCACAGGGTGACTGTGTAAGAGGAGAGACACGCTGTGTCCTTGTACCTGGCCAGCCAGTGCTTTCAGTGTCTCAGATCTTGCAGGCATCCAGGTACGCAGCCCCGGCAGCTGCGAGTGGAGCGGCTGCTTTCCTGCTGTCCTCCCCTCCTCCCCCGCCGCCCTGGCAGCACGTCCATGAAGAACAGCGCGGCTTGCTGTGACCTCTGAGGAGGGCCCAGGTCCTGTTCAACTGGCGACAGGAGCTGCACACCAGGGAAGGCACTGCAAGGAGGCAACAGGGACGGGGTGGGGTCCCTGGGTCCCGGAAAGCACACATCTCTCACCTTCATGCGGTCGTATTTGTCGTCTACGTCCTGCAGCCAGGAGATGAACTGGCGGGCATTGAAGCGATCTCGCACCGATTTGTTCTCGTCCCCCTGTGTAAAGAGCCACGAGACTGACGAGGCATGGGGCCAGGCAGAGGAAAGCAGCACACTGTCCTCTCCGGGGAGTACAGAAGCCAGGATGTCACCCCAGGAGCCATTGAGTGTAACCCCAAGGCTGAGGGGAAGGCCCTCCCCTCCACCACCCACATCAGGAGGCTGCTCCTGGCACAGGGATGGCTGAGCAATGCCCAGGAGCCCCGTCTCCTTGTCTGCAGGCTCCCACTGGCTCCTAATGGCAATTTCAATCCCTTCCCTTTTCGCAAACTGAAAATAACTACTGTTCTTTGAAAAGGGTGTGTGAGAGACCGAAGATCAGCTGCCCTGGCTGCCCTCAGCCTACAATGCCCATTTCCTTAAGCAATCTTGTCCTCACTGAGCCAGCCTGGGTGGAGACGGGGGCTGGGCTGCACGGAGTCTCCTGGAACATGCGGAGCTCAGAGCTGAAAACTGGCTACCGAGGGCTCTCGAGCTGGGGGTCACCCTGACACACCCCTGGCAGAGCGTGAACCCTGAGCCTTGACCTCAGGGGGTGCAGTGCCCAGGCCAACCCCAGAGTGCTTACAGAAGAGGCTTTGGCCTGAGATGCTCTCGTCACTGACCTTCAAAGGCAATCCAGGAAATTACTGACAACTCGTGATTTTCTTTCTCTTGGATGGAAAAAGCAAAACTTCCCAACAGCTAACCCTTAAAATAACATCTGGTGACAAATGCTTTGCTTTACTGAAAACCTGCCGTCAGGTATAGAATGTGAGACAGGCAAGTGTCCAGTCCTTTAGGGTAGAGGTCTTTACAGCAAACCCCACAACCCCAAGGCTCAGAGAACAGAAGACGACCAGAGCCACACCATGCAGAGCTGCAGATATGGGCGTGCCAAGAGGTCCTGGAAGAGCTCCTGAGGCCAGACATCCCTGGCACAAGGCGCACACGCAGGCACGGCCTGCTGGGCACGTTGCATGGACTGCAGCCTCAGGTGTCTGGGTCTTGTGGCTCTACCCTGCCACAGACCTACCCTGGTTCCTTCCCACAGGGGAGAAACCTCAGTCCACCTAGATCATGTGATCCCCTGCCCAGAAGCCACAGGCCTTGTAGCTGCTGCCACCTGCTGCCCAGGGCCACTAGTGTGCCAGCCCCACTGCTCCTCAGGAAATTTAAATAGAAAACGTAGTTGCACCTTCCCTGTGAGGCGAAGGAAGGGCAGCTGTGCTTCTCTCGGTGTGCACATGGCCCACCCTTAACCTCCACTACTCTGGCCCTTTCTGTGGCTACAGGCAGACAGACGACCCTCAGGGATGCAGTGTGTTGTGCACAGCAGTGCTGAGCCGGCTGTCACGGCTCCGGGCACAGGGTACGCAGGGATGCGGATGTGTGCGTGGGTGGCTGCTTCCTGCTGCACTGCCTGGTATGTGAGGCCTCTGGCTCTTCTTAGGAGGGAGGTCCTGGGTGAAGATGAGTGAGTGTCCCTGAGAAGGCCACCCACCTGGCTTTCCAGAGGCATGTTGTAGACCTCAGAGTCCAGCAGCATCGTGCAGGCGCTGAAGGGTACTGCCTGGTTGGCAATGGTCCGGGCTGCCCGGCAGTGGACCCGCAAGATCTCCTGCTCACAGGACACGATGAGCTTCTCCTGGGGGCAGAGGCACAGGGTGAGGGTGGGTACGCAGTGCCAGGCTCCTTGTGCCCGGGCCTTGTCTTACCCGCTCAATGCTGTGCTGCAGACGCAGCTTTCCCCGAACAGCCTCCTGCTGCTTGAAAAGCTCCTTCAGGGGCTCCGCCAGAGAGGGTGGGGGTGCAATCTGCAGGCCAAGAGGAGAGGGGTCAGCAGGGCTATGGGGTGCACCTACCCCAGGAGTCTCCAGGGACACACTTTGTTCCCAGGCTCCAAGATGGTGGTGTGAAGGGAGCAGGAGGGAACAGAGTACCTGTTTGTGGCCCCTTGTCCAGGAGAGGAGACCTGCCTGCCAAAGCAGGGTACCTGCACCACGGCAACAGCCCAGTGGGCCACTGCAGGCTCATGCACCCGAAGGGCACACAGCCAGCACCTGGGCCAGCAACCTGATGCAGGGAGGGCGACAGCCTGCCACGACCCACAGGACCTCTGGGGCTGGATAATGGCACCACCACACTCCAGTGGTGGGAGGTCGCTCTCAGGTGAGCAGGAACATCACAGGTTGGGGAGGCGGCAGGGAGATGTACCAGGTCTGCAACTGCCCTGAAGGACCCATGAGGTGATGGCAGGGCCAACCGCGGGCAGCCTGTACCCTAAACAGCAACAGAGCAGCTGGAGGGGCGGCTCCTGCTGAAGGTAGAGCTCGACGAGTCAGTGTGCAGAGAAGCACAGTGGACCCCCCATGGATGCTGCCTTTGCAGGGCACGGGTTGGAGGCACTGGGGAGGGGGGCAGTCGTATACGGGACTCGGAGTGTCTTCCCCAAGATCTGGCGAGCTGCAGTCATTTCCCTCAGAGCTGCCTGTCAGTTTCCAGGAACCACCATCTGACCTGATGTGCCCAGGACCCCATGTGGTGAGACTGGGATTCTGAACAACAGTGTGAGCCTCAGCCCCCGTGGTGCAATGCCCCGAGGCACCCCGGGAAGGGAGTGCCCACTACAGACCCTGCCCATAACGGACTCTCAACCTGCCCTGCCACCTATGGGCCCTGGGAGCCCCTACAAACTAAACTGCTGGCTCTGTACTTTGAACACTTCGGTTACTCTAAACCCAGTTCAAAATGAAAGCTCTGGCAACACGTCCAGTCTGCAAAACCCATCCACCCCAGCCGTGGTGGCAGCAGTGGTGCTGTGTGTCCCCAGCATTATGCTCCCTGAGGAAGTGTGACCTCCCAGGCTAGGGAGGTCTCTGGGTGAAGGACTTGGTGCAGGTGCATCCCACCTTCCACCAGCCCTGCAGGAGAGAAAGCATGGGGCCTGGTGCCACCACAGCCCAGGAGAAAACGTTGTGAAGCTCCTGTGCTCTCCAGCCTGCCCAGGAGGCTGGCAGTGGCTCGGGGGCCCGATGCACCAGCCTGGTCCTGCCCGTTTCACCTGTGTGTGACATGAGCACACTCGCAAGGGCTAGCTATGTGCTAAGGGTTCAGTGATTGTCTTCTCTATTTTGACAATGAGACTTTAGATAAGAGAAAGCAACAGGAAGTACAGACAGTCTTCCAGAATAGAAGTCTTAGCCAGGTTGTAAGTGCACTGGTCAAGCACATGGACCACCTGCTGGGCTCAAGCTGGGCACACTCTGGGACTTCCCATGGGGCCCATGGGAAAAGCCCACCCTCTTGTGGGTAGGGTGTCGTGGAGCTGCACTACCTGCTTAGGGAGGTACAAGCCCAGAACACCCCTCAGAAGGGACAGGGGGCAGGAGGCAGAGCAGATGCTGTAGCACCGCCCTCTTCACCCACACTCTCTACCATGTAGCCAGCAGGCAGAGGGCCCAGGCTGCCAGGTGGAACAGCCTGTTCTACTAGGCAAACTGCTGGGCAACAGGACTGAAGGCCTGCCAAGAAGCTTTGCTTCCCTTTAGGGCTGAGTCACACGTGAGCTGAGGGAAGGAGAACTCTCCCTCTGCCGGGGGCAAGGAGGAAGCTGCCTGTGGGAGAGGGCTAAGCAGGGCCTGCTGGTGGGGAATGTGATGTTGGTCAGAAGGGAATGGAGACCCACAGCAGCATCGCCAGGCTGGGTGGAGGGCAATGGCTATCCCCCTAAAAGCCCAAGGAGGGAGGCAGAAGGAGAGACTCAGGAATGCGGGCAGACCATGCTGGCCCTGGTGAAGCTGGAGGTGGGGAGCAAGCCTGCTGTAGCCCTTTGCCACAAGGGGAGTCTGGTAAGAGAGGGGGTAGTATGCAGGGGCCCTCAGGGGAGTAGTCCCAGAAACAGTCCCAAGGGGCCAGGTGTGTGGCACCAAGGGACGCGCTGCCTGGCGAGCATGCAGGTGTGACCCTGACCAATGACAGCAGAATGCCAGGGCTCCAGGGTTCTGCATTTGTCACTCAGAGTGTTCTCTTGTCCACCGACGCGAGGGGATGGCACTCACCACAGGGATGTGGAGCTTGCTGAGTGGCTTGCCGTCTAGGAGGTAGGACCCCGTGTAGGTGACGTACTCAGCATAGCACTGAGGTGCCTGTGGTGTGATGTAGCAGAGGATCTTGCGCTTCTCTTCGATCTTCTTTCTGATCTGAAGGTACTCGAAGTACGGATTGGACCTGTCGCTGTGGTAAGGTTCGATGTCGTCCAGCTTGATGGCGTCCACGATGGCAGCCAGGGTCTGTTGGATGACCTCCCGCGTCTGCTGTGTGGACGTGTGCAGCTGCTGCTGCAGCTGCTGACTGGAGCGCTGGAAGCGGCGCTTGCGTGGATGTTGAGCCTGGGCATCTTCCTCCTCGGGGACACGGGCCTTGGCACGGGAGGCTGGTGTAGGCGTGGGCTCCTTCTCTGCAGGTGGCGTGCCCTGCTTGCTCTGACTGGCCAGCATCTGGGCCCGGTTCCTGGTCATGCGCTGAGGGACTTCCTCCACCCGGGGAGCCTTGGGGGCTTCAGCTGCGGGTCGAGGCTCTGGCTCTGCAGCTTCTGGCTGCACACTGCCGGGAGGGCCCTCAGCTGGGGTGGCAGCAGGGGTGGCCTCTGAACCATCCTGGGCCTGTGGAGGGGCATCCTGGGTAGGGCCATCAGGGGCCCAGTTGGGAGCAGCTGAGGGGTCTTCAGCCTCGATCTCGTCTCCACCCTCCAGGGGACGCTGTTCTGGGGGGCCAGGCACAGGCGCTGAGCTGGAGTCCAGACCCTCAGGGCTCTGTTCCTCCACCGCTTCTGCTTCTACAGTGGCTTCCAGAACTACATCCAGCTTTGGCTCCTCTGAGGGCTCAAGCTCGGCGGGAAGTCGGGGTGTGGTCTGCTCGGTAGGTGGTGCTGGCTGATCCTCGGCCACAGCCACAGAGCCATCCCCACTGCTACTGACCCCAGGGGTAACAGGGACGGCCTCTCCTGGAGGAACAGGGCTCTCTTCTGTAGGGTCAGTTTCAACATCTGGGGCATCCTTGGGCTGGAGAGGGAGGTCCGGCAGTGAGAAGGGCCCCAGGTCCAGGTCATCCTCGGCACTGGTGAAGGCGTCATGCCAGGGCACAGGCTCCACTTGGCCAAGGGCAGCCAGGCTGTGACCACTGTCCAGGAAGCTGCTCTCTAGGGCCCCGAGGGCCTCCACCTGAGCCACCGTGGAGACACACGTGGGCTCCGGTGCCTGGTCAAGGGGCGTGTCTGGGAGTGGCTTGCAGCTGCCGAAGAAGGACTCAAGCCTGGCAGGGGCGGTATAAGGTGTGGCTCCTTCGGGGGCGACAGGGAGGGCTCCTACCCCATCATCTTTGACTTCTTCCAGGCCTGGCTCAGCAGCTGGCAGAGGGTAGGAGACAGGAGAGACAGGGTACGGGGGCTCTGCGGTGCTAAAGGGCCCTGGGGTGGCAGTGTGGAGGGCGTCCGCAGGGCAGTAATGTTTTGGGGACTCTGGGAACCTCTGAGGGGACTTCAGCAGGAGGTCGGCACCCACAGGCCAGCTGACGGGGTTTTCGGAGGCACCAGTGACCAAGGAGGAAGAAAGAGCCTGCTCAGCAGCGGGGTGCGCCCACTCCACAGGCTCCTCAGTAATGACAGTGCTGAAGGGGCCCTCATCCAAGGGCTCCAAGTAGCTGGGCTCGGGGGGGATGATGGCAGCTGTGGCCTGCTGGTCCTCTGTGGCATCCAGAGGGAGGCCCAGGTCCGGGGGAAGGGCTCCCTCTACAGCTGGGGCTAACAGCTCACCTCTGGGAGAAGAGGCTTTTGCTGGTAAACCAGAGAAGATGCCCTCAGGGGAGGGCGTGGTGCTAACGGTAGAGGCAGGGGGGCAGTGCAGAGAATCCACCTTGGGTGAGGGGATGCCGTAGTCTGGGGAGTAGTACCCTGGGGACAGGCAGGCAAACTTCTCCGTGGGGACCGATGGGAGTGGAGCCTTGTCTTCCAGCAAGTGCTGCACAGGGGAGTCGAAGCTGGAGGCCGCAGGGACACTCTGCTGCCTGAACAGCTTGTCCCCAACACTGAACTCCTCCTCGGGGGTCCTCCTGATGTCCACAGAGATAGAGCGGTAGAGGTTGGTGGAGATAGGCCTTGTGGGTGTCTGGCCCGAGTTTTCAGAAACGCCGCTGGAGGCCACAGAGAACCTGTCAAAAAACGGCGGTGAGCAGGCGCTGGCGGATGTGGCAGAGACGGGCATTGAGTGCTGGGAGTCTGCACAGTCAAACACCAGGTCAGGGTAGTCGTCGGCGCTGCAGGACGGTGTCCTGGGCGTGTGCATCACCTCCTCGTAGCTGGGGCACGACACCACCGAGGTAGGAGTGGGCACCCCAGTGGGCCTGCTCTGCTCAGGCCGGGGCGAGGCAGGCAAGACCTCCTTGAAGGGTGGCCCTGCCAACCAGTCTTTGCACTCTGCCCCGGGCCCTGGCTTGCTCTCTGTGGTGGGTGGCATGGGAGTGGAGTCCTTGAGCTTCTTCTCCTTCAAGGGAGGCTCTGGCCCCAGGGGTTTCTTAGGAGGAACGTCCAGGCTCTTCTTTCGCCCATCGTCCACGGGCTTTGTCTTGTCTTTGAGCTTGGGGTCCCCAGACCTGTGTCTCATCTTCTCCATCTGCTTCATACGCTCCTTGTGACGCTTGTGGCGCTCCTCGATCTCCAGGTCCTTCTGGGACAGCATCCTCTCAAAGCTCGTCATCATCAGGTCACCGTCTCCCAGGAGCTTCTCACGGGGCCGGGTGTCCTTCTTTCCCAGGTCTCTGGCCAGTGGTAGCTTGTCATTCCCATTGCTGATCTTCACTGAGTCGACCTTTTCTCTCTCTGTGTTCTCCTTGAACTTCTCTTTCAGCTTGGCCTCGCTGAGTTTCAGGCTCTCGTCCCTGGACTTCTCCTTGAAGGAGTTGGGAGGGTTGTCCTTGTCTTTGGCTGCGGGCTTTGGCTCATCCTTGTGGTGTTTGAGGAAGCCATCTGTGTGCTTCTCCCGGTGTTTCTCCTTCTCCTCTCTCCACTTCTCCCGGTGCTTCTCTCGCTTCTTCTTCTCCTTCAGGGTGCTGATGGTGCTAGATCCGTAAGGCTTTAGTTCCTTCTCTATTTTCTTGGAAGGTTCTCTCTCAGGATCATTTCTTTCTTTCTTTTCAGAGGAAAATATTTCAATGGTCTTATCCAACTCATCGTCAATGTCCGCCTTCACGGTGTAGGTGGCCCCATAGGCCTCTGCCTCCAGGAAGTCCTTCTCGTACTGGCTGGAGTCCTTCCTGCCGCCCCCGTCCTTGTAGTCCTCGCCTTTCTCCTTCTTCTCGGCCTTCTCCTTCTTGGCTCTCTCCCGGTCGTGGCTCTTCTTAGAGGAGGATGAAGAGTGCCTATGCCGCTCCTTCTCCCTCAGCTTCTCTGCCAGGCAGCTCTCTCTGGCTTTGTCGTCAGGCGGCTCCGAGAAGGACACCTCCAGCAGGGTGCTCAGGCCGGGCTCCTGGCCACGGTCTGTGAAGCTGTCTGACGAGACCTCGCTGACTTTGTCATTGGAGTCCTCCCGGTACTCGTGCAGTGCCTCCTCCTCCAGCTTCTCCAGCAGGCTCTTCTCCGCCTCGGCACCCCGTGAGCCCTTTCTCTCTTTGGAGTGCTCCTTCTCCGGTTTCTCCTTGTGCTTACTCTTGGTCTTGTCCTCAGTGGAGTGCTTCTTCTCCACCTTCTCAGGGAGCTTCTGTTTGCTCTTTTTTTCTTGGGCGGAGTCGACGGAAGTCCTGTCTTTCCTGTCCTTGTATCTCTCTGCACACTCTCTGTCTTTTTTCTCTCGATGCTTCTCAAAGATCTTGTCTTTTTTGTCCCGCCCGCCTTCAGGGGCAGCTCGGTCCTTCTTCTTTTCTTTGGGCTCTTTATCTCTGGGCTTCTCTAAGTGCTGCCGGTCGGAGGAGGACTTCCGGTGTCTCTCTGAGAGATGAGGCTCGCGCCCATCTTCCTTGTCCTGGAGGCCATCCCCTCTCTGTGTGTCCCCAGCTTCCCCGACCTTGAACCCGCTGGCCATGTAGTCGTCCTTCTCATCCTCACTTTCGTCTGTGAATATGTCTGCAATGTACCAGCTCTTCTCCTTCCCTTTCTTGTCGTCTTTCTTTTCGGAGAAGTCTTCCGAAAGAAGTCCAGGGAACATCTTCTCCTTCTTTTCTCTCGCTTGGTCAAGAGGTGCTTTTCTGTCTTTGCTGTGGGCCTCTTTATGCTTCTCCTTGCCATCTTTCTTTTCTTTGAAACATTTGTCAAATTCTTTGTCTTTCTGACATTTCTCAAGGAGTGATTTCTCGCTCTTGTCCCTGTCCAGAGACTTGTCTTTGTATTTTTCCGCCCGCATCTTCTCCTTCCTCTCCTTCTCCCGGGCGACATGGTGGCGTTCCCAAGGCTCCAGGCCCTTAGCCAGGTCACAGTCTGGCTTCTCCCTGAAAGCACTCTCACAGCCACAGTCCTTCAAGTCCTCGCGATGTGCCTCTTCGGGCCGGAGGCGGGCGTCCTTGCGCTCCCGGGAGCCGTCCAGGCCGTCCCTCCGCTCCCGCGCGGCCTCAACACACTCCCTCCTCCGCTTGTCTTTCTCAGAGAGGTAGCTGGAGATGCCTTTATGCTTCTCCATCTGGTCTCTTCTCTTCTCAGAGTTCTTGTCCAGATAGTCCCTGTCTTTCTTGCGGAAGAAGGAATCTCTAAAGTCCCGCTTCTCCCGGGCTCTGCTGTCTCGCTTCTTCTCCTTACTGTCCTCCTTCACTGTCTCTAAGATGAGCTTGGCCACAGAGTCACTCTTGATGTCCCTGTAGTCTGTCACCGGGGAGTCCCAGCTGTCCTCCCCTTTGAAATCAAAGGAGGAATCAGACAGGTCCGAAAACCACCTCTCCTGCTGATCATCAGAAAGGCTGAACTTGGTGTCCTCGTTCTCTAGAAACTGGGCTTTGCTGCAGTACTCGTCAAATGCAGAGTCATCCCTGTAGCCCTTTTCCTTTCTGAGCTTCTCCTTCTCCTTGCAAGTCCTGTCCTCTTTCCCGTCGTTCTTCTTCTCTAGCTTTGAGGGCCGGTCTTTGGACTTTTTTTTCCGCTCCTCTTTGTACAGCCTCAGCTTTTCCTCTTTGGGGGACTTTTCCTTCATGGTCTTCTCCCTCTCTGCTTTGCTGGAACGGTCTTTCTCTTCCCGGAAAGACCTGCCGATATCTTTGGCCCTCTTCAGCAACTTCTCATCTTTTGAGACCTTGAGCATCTCTTCTTTGAAGATCCACTCTTTGTCTTCTGACTTTAGCTTGCTGAGTTTCTCTTCTTTCTTAAAATGGTCTCGGTCATGCTTCAGCACTTTCAGCTTATTTTCTGTGGAAATGTCACTGTCTAAGAGGACGGCCTTATCTGACTTTTGCTTGGAGTCCTCGTACTCATATGTAAAGCTTTTCAGTTTAATTTCCTGGCTCACCGAACATTGCCCCTTCTCCTTGTTTTTGTGTTTGTGTTTCGTCTTGTGTTTTTTAACAACTTTTCCCTCCTTGTCCAGCTTGGGGACGGCACCATCTGTACTGGGGTGGCAGGCGCCCCTTTTCTCTGGTGGGCCACTCGGCAGACTGCCCCTCTTACGGAGCTCCTGCTTCCTCCGGGCAGGCTTCAGAGACTCCACACTGGAGCCTTCGGAAGGGCAGTCAGACTCACTCGTCAGTCCCGTGCGTGAGGAGTCTGACAGGGAGCTGACCTCGGACCAGGCCGGAGAGGAGATGGCTTTCCAGTTGTCCGTGCGCCAGTGCTTTGTGTGCTGGTCACTGTGGTTGGCGCCATGCTTTGGGGCCGCAGTGCTGCCATGGGAGGAGGTGGAGGAGGCGGACAGCGAGCTGAACAGGGAGGGGTCCTTCAGCACCAGCGGGGACCCCTTGAGGCAGCCCGTGCTCCCCACAGAGTCCCCATCGTCCTCCTCGCTCTCTGAGGACTCGCTCTCTGACTCAGAGGAGCAGAATTTGTCGCTCCTCTTCCCAAACCGGACTTCTTTGCTTTTTGCTTCTTTCTTTCGCTTTTTCTTTACTTTGCTTTTTTCTTTTTGCTGCCTGGAGTTGGTTGGCTCCCGTACCTTGCTGCTGGGCAGCATGGAGTGTGCAGACAGCCGCAGCTTCTCTCCGGTGCCGACGGTGAGGCTGGTGTCCTCCTCATCGGAAGTGTCTGACAGGATGCGATGGGCTGCTTTCTTTGGTGCAATTGCGTTGTTCTTACTGTAACTCTTCACTTCCATTTTGGGTATTGAAATGAAACTGTTGGACTTTGTCTCTTTCCTGTAATCCTTCTTCAGCAAGTGCTTGTCGTCCACCGGAGGGACCCTGTCCTGCTCATCATCCTCATCAAACTCATACTCGTCCTTGACAGGGGCAGCAGTCTTCTGCGGCTCTGGATTCTTGGCCTTGAGCTTCAGGCCTTTCTCAAACTCAGAGTCCGTGTTATTGCCATCGACTGAGCTAGACGGCGCGAATGATGGGGCGTCCTCCTCCTCAGAACTCTCTGTTGGGACAGGAAGGAAGAGGTCAGGTGGGTGCAGAATGCTCCCCCAGAAGGGGCAGGGACCTCTGCAGCTGTGGGTCCTCAGGCAGACGGGCTGGCAGCCACTGCTTCTGGAGAAGCGCTCCTCTTGACCTGGTGCCATCTGAGGCCAACTTCAGGTGGAAGGAGTCCAGAGAGGCCTAGCAAAGATGGGGCCAAGTCCCTGACAGTGCCAGGCCCCCCCAAAAAAGCTGCAGACCCTGTGGAGCCGTAGGGCTGCCATGCAGCTGTGGAGAAAACACCCACCGCACACCACTTACCAGTGGAGCTCTCCTCACTGGATGTGTAAGTGCCCTTGCCTAACAGCAGGTTCACCATGGTGGGGGAACTGGCCACTTTCAACGGGGTCTCGCCTTTCCGGTTGCTCTGCTGAGGGTTCCCTCCATACCGTAACAACAGCTTCACCACCTACAAGACATTGAGGGCCACATCAGGGAGCTGAGGAGTACAATCACTCTGCCTTCCCATACAGACGGCAGCCCAGGACCAAGGTGGGAGCAGGCCGAGCCCGCTGCTGGGGCACTCTGCCTCTCCTTGTGCAGCCCAGGAGTGTTCTCACAAAGCCCTGTGCAGTGTGGATCCTGTGAGTGGCTGTGCAGATTCTGGAAGCTTAGGGGGAGCTTTTATTGGGGGACAGCAGGGTACAGAATAGAGCAAACAAAGACCAAGTTTCTGTAAGCTGGTTTATTTATTTTCATTTACATCAGAAAAGACGGCGATCTCTTCCTTGCTTAATTTTACACTACAGGAGTCCCAAACACCCAGGTGACATTTCCGTAGCTCTGTTCAATTGCTTATAGTCAGTAACTTGTGTTTCACATGCCCAGGACAGCAACTTGCTACACAAATGTAAATACAAAGTCTCCTCGACTCCAATCCCACCTGAGAGGGGGCCTCCTGCGAATGGGCCCCTCTTCTGCTTCCCTCACAGAACCATGCTGACTGGTCACCAGCACACAGTTGTGCGTGTCTGCATCTCTGCTGCTATGACATAGTCCCATCCTAGTCCTCTGATTCTAAAGGATTCCTTATTGTTGACCAGGACCCGCTTCCCTCATCCTGTGGCTGTGAGTGAAACGTGGCTCCTCCTGTGGTAGGACCAAGGTCCCTGCTCCTTGCTGTGAGGTCACAGCCTCCCAGGTCTGTGGCCATTCCTAAGGCTAGCTATGCAGGCCATGCCCTCTCAGGCCTCAAGGCCCTTTAAAGAGCAAACAAAACCAAACCATTACGTCCATGACCTTCCCTAAACACAGAATAACCCTACCAAGTATGTACCTGGCGTTTCAGCCATCTGTCTAGTGGTCTCAGAAATCCTCCCACTCCGAGGGGCCACAAGCGAGCCCTGCTCCCTGCTGTGCTGTCAGGTCTCGGACACCTTCCCAACATGGGGGAAGCCGTGGAGGGTGCTCTGAGTGGGCAGAGGGCATCCTCACCATGCAGACTGCTTGGCCTGTGGCTGCTCAAAGGGACCGTGATGCCATGTCCTGCTCTTCAGCAGTACGAGATGGAGGGTGTGGCCTGTGTGTCTCTGCTTCTGAACTGGAGGCAGCCCTCCCTCAGGGGGCTGAGCACGAACGTGCCATGTTGTGTGCTGCCTGTGCCTCCTTCAAGGCCAGACAGGGACAGTAACAGGGACCTGGCAGTATGTGTGCAGCTGCCCTTCCTCTTGGGCACAATCATTTCCCTGCTAAGTCAAGCCAGACGCCCATGGCCGAAGGGGGACCTTGATGTGTTATAGTGGAGGTCGTCCAGGTGCCACTCAGGTGAAAGCTGGGAGCACAAGTGGTTGGCAGGGCCCTCGAGGAAAGGGAGACAAGCACTCCTCAATACTAGATTTTCGTGGAAGCCTACCAGGACAGAGAAACACAAAGGTGCGGGATGGTCCTGGCCAGAGGGCAGACCAGGCTTGGGGTGTGGAGATGCCAACCTTGTAGTGGCCGTTGTTGGCAGCATCGTGCAAGGGCGTATCATCATCCAGGCCCTTGGTGTTCACCTCCGCACCTGCGGCCAGCAGTTGCTTGGCGACATCATAGTAGCCCCGGTTACACGCCTCATGCAGCGCCGTCCAGCCTGGAAACAGACACTTAGGACATACGTTACTTAGTCCTTGAGAGCCTCACTCCTGAGGATGAGCTCCATGACAAAGACTGGGGGCAAGGGTGGCGCCTCACACCGAGGGGCATCCCCGGCAGTGCTGGAGTGCAGACAAGGCCTGTGCTGCGTGACCCCTGCTGTGGTGGCGTGTCTACACAACCAATGCCTGCAGGCCAACAACCTGCACCAACCACCCTCCAAGTGCAAGAAGCCCATGCCTGCAACCCTGCCTCACCCAGCTCACCAGCCAATCCATGCATGGCAGAGGCCTTACACTCACAACAGGGAAACCCCAGGACCTCATAGGTGCCAGGCAAGTGCTCTATCACTCAGCTGCACCCCTAGCCCTTTTTATTTTTTAATTAAAGCCTCACTAACTTGCCCATCCTGGTCTGAACATGCAATCTTCCTGCCGCAGCCTCCCGAGTGACTGGGATTGCAAGTGTGTACCACTCTGCTCTACCTGAGAACCCCTTTGCAGATTGCGCGGCTTTTAGACACGCTAGGTTCAGGCCTGGGAAGCTGGAGTACAGGGCCAGGCAGTGAGGTCCCTGCAAGAAGTTGTCAGTGCTTCGGCAAAGCCCCGTTTAGAATAACATAGGGCTGAGGGTGTGTGGAGAGACTGGAGAAAGAACTAGAGCCTTCTTATGCTCTGAACTATAGCATAAGCCTTTTTGACAAATAAAAAAGTTGTTTTTTTTTTTTTGCCCCCGAGGAATTGAACCCATGACCTCACACCTGCAAGGCAGGCACTGTGCCACTGAGCTATATCCCCAGCCCTATTTTTTCAAACAGGATTTTGCTAGGTCACTAAACTACCCAGGCTGGGCTGGAGCTTTGATCCTCCTACCTCAGCCTTCCAGAGCAAGGGTACTAGAGGTACATGCAATGGTACCTGGCTGGAAAAACTGCTTTAAAATAAAGCAGACAACTACCAGCTCGAGCAGTTTCTGTGCCTCCATCCCCACTCACTGTGAGCAGCTCGGTATGCCATGCGGTGCAATGGTGCGTATCATGTCCAAGGCAGCACGGACTCTACCCAGAGTCCCTAAAGCCAAAGTCTGGCCCATACTGATCCTGATCTGCGGACACCCCCACATCTGTCACAGCTTAAAGGGTGACACATCATTTAACTGTGCCTCCCAGAGGGGCCCTGGAGCAAGTCCTATGAGGAGTATGTGTGGGGGTCCTGCCTCCACGCAGCTGCAGGATGAAGACCCAGCTGGGCTCAGCACAGTAGTGCCCTCTGCTTGGCAAGTGCTTCTTCCTAAGCACACACAAGACCCTGCCAAGGGCCTGGGACTGCTGACACATGAAACAGCAGTGTAAATACTTACAATCCCTCACTTTTCCTAAAATTAGCAACAAAGAAAATGATTCTATTTCAGAATACATCCCCAGACTCTCTCCTCCCTTGCAGAAGCAGCTGGTAACCCCACAACACAGAGTGCCACACAGGGCACACAGGCCCCAGGGCCTTGGGAGTGGAGGGTGTAGCCCTGAGCCTGGCACCTCTGGCTGCAGCACTGTGCACAAGATCCTACACAGAAGTGGAGGCACAATCTGCTCGGGTGGCTGGTGCTTACCTGCAAAGTCCTTGACATTGACATCCGCGCCCTCGTTTATGAGCTCCTTGATACGCCGGGCGTCCCCTCGGATAGCGGCCCGGTGCAGGCGGGTCTCCCCCCGCTCGTTCCTCTTGTTCACTTTGTCTTTGGTTTTTGAGGCAGAGTTGGGCGTCCCCTTCTGACACACTGTAGACTGGGAGGGGTGCTTTGGTGTTGTGTCTACTGTGGGCCAAGGAAGGGACAGGCGGGCATTGGAGGTGGGGCTGCCTACTGGAGGCCTCCGGAACCTGCCTGTTTTCACGAGGTGGGTGAGGGGATCAAGCAGAGCCAGATCTCCACCCCCAGGGACCACCCTGTCCCTGCTTACCTGGGCTGTTGGCAGACTCCTCGGCCGTCATCTGCATGAGGAGAGCCACCTGCTGGCGCTCAGAGAGCGGGTAGCCGGCCCGGATCCCAGACAGCCCCATGCCGAAGAGCAGCCCTGATTTCCGGGCCACGGGCTCCTTCTTGATCCTCTTCCGCTCGGGACCCTGCTTCTCTGTGTGGCAGGTGAAGGACAGGGAGGGGACACTCGACACCAAGTTCTCAGGACCCAGGCCGTGCCTAGCATCACAGAGCCCCTGCATGCACTCCATAGCTCACACAGCAATGGGCAGGCCATGCAAGGGTGGGCAGGCGGCAGGCAGCAGACAGGCTGCCCAGGAGACACTGTCCAACACTGCGGGGCAGCCACTCCAACCTAACCACGCTTGCTGCGGAACCCTCCCGAGTGTCGCCTGTGCTGCACACAGTGCTGGGAGTGTGGAGGCCAGCTGAACTACTCCGACCTTAATGACATGGACAGGGTGCTGTGAGCACACCCGTGTGCATGTGACATCACCTTCCCAGCCCACTTCCAAACAGTGCAGACACGGTGTAGAAATACACACATAAATCAAGACAAACTTATTAGCTCTGTGCCTTTTTTCTCCATTCTAGGAGCCTCCACTGCACGCCCCGGTCCTTAGAGGGGAGCAACACAACACGGACTGAGCTGGAGACATCTAAAGGCATCAACACAGAGCACTAACAGATCCAGGCAACAGATTACTGTCTCCAGCTCAGTGTCTCCTGGCACTTCCACGAAGCCCCACGCAGATGGGCTGAGCTCATAGCCCTGCTGGCCTCTGTCAGAAACACTGCGCTGCTTCTCTTCTGAGAGAACACAGCTTGTGTTCCCCCTGCCTGGGCTGCAGATGCACACTGAGGGAGCAGGCAGTGGCAAGAAGGCCTTCTGTGGCATCTGCTTCCTCTTCACCCCACAGGTTCACGAAGCCCTCTGCAGAGTGGGATGTGCACTTGGTGGGCACCTGAGACTAGCGAGGAAGGTAAATGGCCCATGAGGGTCGTGTCTGTACCCCTCAGGAGGTTACTATCAGTGATTTCCTCACCCAGCTTAGGGTGGACACCCCTCTCTCCACCACTGTCCAGTCAAGGCCTTACCAGAGTTCCTATTAGACAACCAGTAACTCTGGTGAAGTACTTTAACTGCCTAAGTTGATGAGCTGCTGAGGACACTGACTTGGGTGTTTGGAGACAAGCCTATATAGATGGGCAAGCACTGAGTAACATCTCCCTGTTTTTCCCAATTTGCAGCAAGACTCCCTAAACAGCTGCCACCAACTAGTTTTTACACGAATCACACAGGTCTGAGAGAAAGAGAACTCCACAAAGAACATGAACTCTGCTCCTGGCCAGGCACACACCTCACACTTCGCCCCTGTCCCCTGTGGACTCACCAGCTGAGCCAACGGTGCCCCTTCTATACATGTTCTAGGGTGCTGTCTCTTGTGACAATGTCTGTGCAACAGCAGAAACCAGGCCAGGGGACCCCAGACCACCCTCCGCCTCCTCCTGAACCTGTCCACAATCTCATGTCCTGGACCTAGGGTGACCTAGTGTAGTGTGGGGCTGGGTGCCCACACCAAGAGGGGCCAGCACACTCAGGAGGTTCAGGACCCCCTTAACCACCAGGGGAGTTGCCTGCCCTGTCAACACATGAGCAGTGGAAGCTGATGTATGGGAGGTGGGAGGCCTGCTGAAAGCCATCCAACTTGCACACAAAGTGGCAAAGTCCGACCTTTGGAGACATATGCTAATTCCACCTCACCAGTCCAGGGGTCACCCCTGCTTCTGTGCTGTGTATGGACGGTGGGCTGTCCATCCAGCTGTCCAGAGACCCTAAGGTACAGATTATTATTAGGGTCTTGCTCTGTTGTGCAAGCTCTCTTCAAACTCCTGAGCTCAATCAATCCTCCTGCCTCAGCCTCCCAAGTAGGTGTTTTTTTAAGATACCAAAGTATATCAGGCAGAAAGAGCCTGACATACTCTGCAGAAGATCATCTAGGATAGTCAGCTGAGCCCACCCCTCTCCTTGGAGGACAGCTAAGAGTGGCTGGCAGGCAGGGACACAAGGCCTGGACATTCACCCCTGCAATGTTGCTGGCCAGCACTTCCACGAAGCCCCATGCAGATGGGCTGAGCTCACTGCTTCTGCTCAGCCAAAGGTGTGCTTGGTGACTGAGACCCATTCCTATCTCAGCCCCCTGGGGAGGGGCTTGTGCCCAGCCCCTGCATGCTTCTCACACAGCTAGCCCTGCCCTCCAACTAGATGCTTACTGTCCCAGCCCAAACCCAGCCTGGAACTGGACCCTGGCTATCTGCTCCAGGGTAGTGTTCTCTAGCACCTGCAGCACCTGCTCTGACACTATACCCACAGGCCGAGATGCTGTCTACTGGAGCTTTTGGGTGAGGGCAGGCAGCACAGAAAGCTTCCTTCTGGTCCTGGCCATGCACACAACCTACATTTCACCCCTGTCAAAGAGGGAGACCCTGAGTGCAGCTGCATCTCAGCATGTGCGACCCAACTGTGTGTGTTGCAGGCATGGTTCCCCCAGGGAAGCCAGGCCCAGAGAAGGAGGACTGTTGAGGAGGGACACTACCAAGCCTGCCCTCAACTCACCCTGCCTGTCATGTCTGTGGGAAGGAAAGCGGGTGAGGGAGTGGCAGGAACTGCCAGCCATGGCTGGGGACAACCAGTGAGTTTCCCTGGTAGCTCACTAATTTTCTGTTATTCAAAGGGAAGCAAAGTAGAATTTGTATAAATTCCAAGTGGTACCTGCTGTGAGAAACAGCGAGTCAAGTAAGTGACCCAGTGTGCACCACATGGAGTCTGAGGTGCACCCACAGGTCCCACCCATGACCAGAACCGTGGAAAGAACTGAATTCATGAACTGAGGTATGAACCCAAGGTCTTCACACTGAGCTGCACCCACAGGTCCCACCCATGACCAGAACTGTGGAAAGAACTGAATTCATGAACCGAGGTATGAACCCAAGGTTTTCACATTGAGCCATACCCCTAGCCCTTTAAAAACTTTTTAAAGTTCTAAGGCTCTTGCCAAGTTGCCCAGGCTGCTCTCCAACTTGTAAGCCTCTTGCCTCAGTCTCCTAGAATACTGGGACTGCAGGTGTGTGCCACCATGACCAGCTTCTGCGCTACTTTTTTTCACGCACACTCCCTGCCCCTGCCCAGCACTGCTGGTTGTCATCCTTGGCCTGTCCTGAGTGACTCTTGTACTCAGGAGTGTGCTTCCTGCCAGGGCATCCATTGGCGAGAAGGCCTTGCCAGGATGCAGGTGCTCTGCGCAACCCAGGGATGCACTCTGGGGTGGAGTGGGCACCTCCTGCATCCAGCTGCTGCCAGCACCTTCTCTGTGGTGTCTGGGCACTCACAAATGCAGTGCTGGGCCCTGCTCCTGGCCTCCCTCCTCGGCAGCACTCACCAGACCTAGAAACCCCCATTCTCCCCATTACCTCTCTCAGGTACTTCCTACCTTGGTTTGTCCTGTGCTGCTGTCTGGGTAATTTCTTCAGTCATAACTTCTAATTCACTAATTCCTTTTTATGTTGTATCTAATAAGCTACAGAGTCTGGCCACTGAATTTTAAATTTTAGTGATTACTATTTTCATTTTCAGATGTTTCATTTGCTACTCAAAATCTGCATGACCCTTCTGATAGCTTATTTTTTTGTTGTTTTTTTCTGGTACCAGGAACCGAACTCACGACCTTGCGCGTGCCACGCAGGCGCTGTGCTGCTGAGCTAAATCCCCAGCTCCCTGATAGCTTATTTCTCACTCCTGCTTTTAACTCACTCCTATTACATTCTGCCCATTTTCACTGGGTGCCTAACAGTTCCAGATGGCGTTCCTGAGCTAGCCCTGCACAGCCTCTTGGGATGCTTTCTGTCCATAACTCTGTGCAGGTGCCTGTACCCAGCTATGCTCTGCACGCAAAGAGGCTGTCTCTCTGGTCAGGGGCTGTGGGGAGCTCAAGGCAGCAAAACCCAAACACAGCCCTGCCCACAAAGGCAGATAGGGACGGAAGCCTCTCATCTCTCTGACACTTGCTGGAAGAGACGGAGGGTCTGAACTGGGAACACTGACTTCTATGAAAGTGTGTGCACCTCAGCTCATTTCAAAGCACTGTTCTGCATTTAGTATCTCTCATTTTAGGCTTTTCTAGCCAAAGTGTTTAGGAGACACAGTCCACCATATTGCCTAGACGGGAACATCTGTAACTGCTCTGTGCTGCTGTCACCAAGTCTGGAAGCATCAGCAGCCCCCAGATTCTGCTCTGGTAAGGAGGTTTTCAAGGCGGTGCTTTGAAATAACAGGAAGCTCTCTGCACATGTCAGGAACAGTTTCCCTGCTGTTATGCCAAGTGATAAGGAGAAGCAATAGTGCCATGAATGCTTCCTTTCTGTTTTGCTTGGCCTCTAAAGCACATCTCTGCCACATGCTTGGAGCCACGAGGAGGGTCTTCTGACCGCTGGGCCTCCATCACAGCAGTCCGCACGCTCACTGGGGCAGAAGCTGCTGAGAAGGACCATTGTTCACCTAGCCTGGACTCCTCTCTGGCACAGCCAGCCAGGGGTCAACAGAATGTGTCCTCAGCCCAGCCTGCAGTGCCACGTCACACCTGTGACAGCAGCAGTCACAGCTATCCTCCCAAATTTGTGATTTTTGTTAATTTCTATTTCTTTTTTTCTTTCATTACCATCACCAAGCATTCAGAGAAAGCCAGGACTCCGCACCTGTGTGCTGTGGCCCTAGAGGCCCCTCCCTGGCCCTCAGCTCTAACAGTAGTACAGTGAGGGTCACACATGTGCAGCCTGGCCTCCTGTCTCCAGACTGAGGGTGACAGGCCCTGACTCCGCACAGCCCCAGCCTCCTGTGAGGAGCACCCACAGGAGGTAGAAGCAGCACTGGCACAAGGGTTCGGCCACTGCCCCGACCACTGCCACCACCCCTCCCTGCACCGAGGTAGGCTAAGAACAGAAGAAACAAGCCACGGTCCAGACACACACCTGGGGCTCGCAGGCCCCAGCGCTGCCTGGCAACCCGACTCACTACATCACAGCTGAGCAGGCAAGACCATCCCATATCCACGGCGCAGAACCAGACACATGGGCTGCTTCCTGCCCTGTGCCAGCTGCCCTTCCACTGGCCCGGTGGGAGCACTGCTGCGACCACTCCCTCTCCCGAGGCTGACTGTACACCCTGCTGCACAAGTCTGAGGAAGTCCTGAACCATGGTGTGCAGCAGACCCACCCTGGCTGGTAGTGTTCAGGCCCGCTGTGAGACAAAGTCCTCTGGAGTTTGGGGAACACGCAGCTCTAAGCAGAAAGCGTTCCTTTGCTTGTCCATGCACTCCTTCATCTAGGAAGGAGCTCTTCCAGTCTGGAGAGGAAAGTGGATGAGAGATAGCAGGACCACAGACTGGCTGCAGCTCGGTCATGTAAAATGTTTTGTATGGAGGTTCTTTCTCACGAGTGACACAAGGTTCTCAGACCAAGCCCAGAACTGGCAACACACAACTCGGGCCAGCCCCCCTCCCCTGCCTCCTGGCTCGGCAGCTGGCTGCTCCTCTACAAGACTTCCAGGAGGAAGATGGCTCCCAGTGCCACTCAACGTGCGCCCTCACAGCCAGTCTCCCTCGGTGGCCCTGGCCCAGCCATGAGGAGTAAGGAAAAGCCTATCTGCCAAGGTTTCTGGGACAACAGAAGACACGGTTCTCCCTGCATGCCCAGGAGGAGCCCTGGGCATAGCCAGGCCTGGTCCCACAGACAGTGCACTCCAGAGGAACAATCCACATGTGCCAGGGATCGTGTCAGGACCCCTTCCACAGGCTGCATGTGTATGTGGGTGCCCTTCCTAGCCAGAGATCTGTCAGGTTGTAAGGCAGCATCTCCCTGACTGCACTCTCAGCCAGCAGGCCCAAAGCCTCTTCCCCTGAGCTGCCCATGGCGATGCCCATCTGGTGAGCAAGGGGGTGGAGCCTCCTCACCACCACACAAGTCACCTCTTGTCCCTAGGGAGGCAAGTACTGGGTGCCAGGACTTCTTAGAAGGCTGGAGAGGGGGTAGGGACTCCGAACAGCCCTTCCCCAAGTGGCTACGATCATACGAAACAAACACCTGGCACTGAATGTGTGGTGTCAACATGCCGAGGAAACCACACAGCGACCAGAGGTGAGAAGAAAGCAATGGAAGAAAATTTTAATTTTCTGCTTGCTCCTAAGAAGTATCTTGGTCTTGAGAATGGAAGAGGCAGCTACCCACTCTGACAGTCCCACAGGGCAGCTGTTGGAAGCTGCCTGGGGTTCTGGGAAGGAGGTTTCTATGAACCCTAGCAATACTGTCGTTTCTCTTCAGATCGTATCAATCTTTTTGCCTTTTTCTATGAACCATAGTGAGGTGAAGTGATGGTTCGACAACTCATACTTATCAATTGTATTTAATTTACTTTTCTGAGACAAGGTCGTGCTGTGTAGTACATGCTGGCCTTGAACTCACTATGTAGCCAGGTTGGTCTGAAACTCACAACCATCCTCCTGCCTCAGCTTCCCCAGTGCCAGAATTATAGATGTGCACCACGACATACTGCACTTACAGATGTTAAAAGTTAGGGGGAAATTTTTAAAAGTACATATGGAGTGGGCAGAATAGTATCATTTGAGGCAAATCCAAGACTTCATATAATTTCATCAGACCAGATCCCATTGCAAGGGACAAGGAAGCCAGGAGGATGAGGGGAGGCCAGTCCCACATGCTGTCCTGGCCTGGCTGTTCTCCTACTGCCACCCTGGCCAAAGCACTGCAAGCACCAGCCGGCCTCCAGGCAGCTGGGAACATGCCTGCCTGCCCTCTTCCTCTGCCCGAAGTCTGAGCCCATTGCCCATTTTCTGAAGAGCACAGAGACAGTCATGTCCCACACTCAGGGGTAACCCAGATGACCACAGCCTGCCCTCTGCAGGCATCCCATGGATATACAACCTCAGGGGCCTGGCTTGGTCAGGCTGTGACTCAACAGCACGACGCTGCTCTTGGCAGGCTGCCCCCAGCCCTGACTAAGCAGTGGGAGGCTGCACCTCTGTGGGCCCGGCTGAGCACACCAGGGCTGGGAAACAGCAAGCCACCCCTGCAGCAGCTTGGTGGTCTCTGAAAAGCTTGTGCCACTCGGGCACAGCGGAGATACGATCCGTCACTTGGAACCCCGACCGGAAGGCTGGTTCCCAGTGACCCCTGCACTCCTGGGATAAGCTACTTCCTCTTTGGCAGAGGATACTGGGCAGCAACTTCTCAGCAGAGGGCACTAGAGGGACAGTATGGGAAGGGGCTGGCCGACAGGACCTTGGGGGCTGGGCCTTGATCTTGAGACAGGGTTTGCTGGGTGTGGCTAAGCCACATCTCCCTCAGCCCAGAGAACCAGGAAGAGTATGTTTCACTCCTTCTTATACCAGGAGTAAAAGTCCTGCAGATGCTAGCACTTTCCCAGCTCCCAGAACTGTGATCCAAGATAAACCTCTTTTCTTTATAAATTAAAAAAAACTTTATTGCACAAATCTCCCTGCCTTGCCCACTGTGTGGCTTCTCCCTCCTGACAGAGGCAGCTAGAGGCTAGCCCAGAGCACCCTCAAGGCCAAATTTATGCCTCTTCCCAATTCTGTCCCGTTTCTGCTTTCTGGCAAGGGTGGAATTGGTGCCCAGCTCAGGGGCCCAGCACTCCAAGTGCAGAAGAAGGAATCAGGAATCAGGGACCAGGTAAGTTTGGGAGGAAGGCACTGGCAGAAGACAAAGAGGCACTTTGAGAAGATGGTGGTTAAAAATTTAGTCTTCCAAAAGAAAACTAGAAGGAGAGCACTGGCCTAACATGCTCAAAGCCCTGATTTGGTCCTCAGCACCTCAATCAATCAATCAATCAATCAAACCAAGGACAGGGAGGGCTGTACCCTGAGGTCTAGTTTCACTACATTAACAAAGCAGATTAAAAAAAAAAAAAAAAAGCAAATATATGACAAAGTTATATATCAAAATTACCTCCCCAGAGGATAGTGTATTTCGGAGCAAAAATACTACATTTCCTATGTATTCCCACAATATTAGTCATGTGTAGAAAAAAACTGTTATCAAATGTTTGTCCAGGGGCTGGGGATTTAGCTCAGCGGCAAAAGCGCTTGCCTGGCAAGCGCAAGGTCGTGAGTTCGGTTCCTGGTACCGGAGAAAAACCAAAAAAAAAAAAAAAAAAAAAAAAAACAAATGTTTGTCCAAGGAGAAAAGGGAAAAGGAAAAAGAAAATAAATAAATAAAAAATAAAAAAAAAAAAATATATATATATATATGCCTGCACACACAAAATAGTTAAAATAGTTATACTACTAATTTCTCTTAGTTCATTGAAAAGAAAGGTTTGTGCTAATATTGTTTGGACAATTAAATGCCTATATTTTGTCCTCTGAGTAACTAAAGGTAACAAGACGCACTGTTACTCTCCTACTACCTTGTTTTGAAAATTTTTTTTTATTTTTATAATTTAAAAAATTTGTCCTTCCTTCCTTCCTTCCCTCCCTCCCTTTCTTTTCTCTTTTTAAAACAATCATCCTTGATACTGGCAGATTCTTTTCTAGCAAAGGCATGTATCAGTTAATCTTTAAAAAAAAAGTTTGTCCTCTTTCCTGACATGACAGTGAGTCTTCCCAGTGCTGGCTGGGCGTTGCCTGCCAGAGAAAGGAAGAGGTGTGAACACAACTCAGTCTCGGACACCACAAGGACGCCAGGGTGAGCCTCACAGATGCTCACCAAGGACAGACAGGAACCCCTGGGAGATCCTTTCCTCACCATCATGACAAAATGGGCACTGCTGGGACAATGAACCCCTAGTTTGCAGGACTGGGCCATGCAGGGGCACAGGTTCAAGCACTGTCTTCCACAAGCTGTGCTTCTGCCACAAAGCGCAAGCAGCAGCACCTATATCAAGATTGCCTGCAGCAGCATGACCTGCCAAGAACTCGGTCCTTTCCAGTCTTCATACAACCACTACCAAAGCTACAGCTAACTGCAAATGCTCTACCCTGCTACAACAAAATCAGGATGATGCTGAAAACAGGAGCAAAGATCTTTAGGCCTACTGTTACCTTACGTGCAGTGCACCCCCAGGGAGCCACACCAGCCACCTCATTCAGGAAGAGATGAGGGGAAGGGCTGCAGGGCTCTTTCCCTCTACCTAACCACTCTTTTTCCCTGTAATGCAGGGAAGAACACCCACCCTGCCACCTTCCAGCACACTGCTGGATAACAGGAGTAGTGTGCACCACTGCTCACTACACTTCCCTTGCATGCCAGCTAGCAGGCCAGCCCTTCCTGCCAGCCTCCAGGTAACCCAGTCTTTGGCCTGCTCCTGGGAGCACACGCCCAGAGAGGCAGGAGAAGTACTTTGGCGGCCCTGCCCCACTCCCCTAGGTACATGCAGGTGCCTATTCACCCTCACATGCTCACCTCATCCCAGCATCCTCAGCCCCTGCCCTCCCATCCCGGATACACTATACTCCTGGAGTCTGAGGTTGCAGGGACAAAGCCCAAGGCCTGCAGCAACCTGTTCCATGCCACAGTGGTGCTCTGCTTCCCTGCCCCCTGCCAGGGTTGCAAAACAGAGACCAGCAGAGTGGGGCAGCCCTGGGCCTCCACTGGGACAATGGGTGCAGCCAGGGTTCCCCACCTGACAGCTCGGGAACAATCACCCTAGGGACGCACCTGCACATGCACTCCTGCGCTGCACCCTGAGGGCCACCCCACTGGCTGCCCCTCACTTGCAGGGTTCCCTCCATCCGCGCCTTTGCTCCATGTGATCCTGCAGGAGCACCATGGTGGAGGGCACTGAGGCTGAGGCCTCCTATGGGCTTCAAGCTGGCCCAATGTAGGAGAGGAGGCAATGCCCAGAGGCCAGTCTCCACCCTGCTGTGCACCCAGGGATGCTCTGGACAGGCTCCTCAGCAAGCTCAGTGAGAACCAGGACATGGCTGGGGGTAGCCTTGGGCTGGTACCTGTGTCCGAGTCCTTCTGCTCTCCATTGGCCCCCACGGTGAAGGGCAGCTTCCGCTTGGTAGTGCGCTCTCTCACCTCCTTCCCTCCATCACTGCGATCCAGCTTTGGGGTCTTGGTTAGAGAAACTTTATCTTTATCCTAAAAAAGAAAGCACTGCTTTCAGACACTCTTCCCAGATTAAATCCCAAACCAGCTCCATTTCATTTCCCAGTGTCACGAAAAATTACTCTCTCACAAGGTACTTAGTGGTCCCTCCAGGAAGGCCAAGTCCTATCCACAGCCCCACGGTGCTGCAGCACATGCTGCCTCCGAGGAGCTCTCAGAAAAGGCCACCTTTCCGGGGAGATGTGCAGCAATGAGGAAAAGCAACAGCTAGGCCTCAGGAGGAATCCACCCTCTATCCTGAGCTCACTGGAGGCCTCTGCAGGCTGCATGGACACCTGCTCTGAGCACCTGACCCCCTGGGTGACTCCAGCCATCATAGCCACCAACCTGGCCAGCATCAATTCTCTCCTTTTGCCCTTACCCTGGGCTTGCCCACCTGACTGCAGGGTAAGGATCCAAGAGGCCTGACACTAGCTAGTGACATCTGGGCAAGCCTTGAGTTTCTGCCTGCTTCAGTGGCACAACCACAGAGGAGGATGGTGCTCACTGAATGTGCACGCGCGCGCGCGCGCGCACACACACACACACACACACACACACACACACACACACAGAGTTTCCTGTGACTTCTGCAGTTTCCTGGAATGTGCTGCACTGGGGGTAGGGGTGTATACCTGAAGCTCAGAGGTCCCTAGATGCACAGAGATGGGGTAGAAGGTGGTCCATGGAGGGAGACGGGGAGGAACTGCCATAACAGAAGTGGGGGCATGGCCTTCTCCCCCACGCTGAGAAGGGAAACTCGTCCTGCCAAGCAAAGGGGAGCTCTGTGGCTACTGCAGCTGCACTGTGGAGGGACCCAGCCCTGGCTGACCTGGGCGGGGCCATGCAGTGAGGATGGTTTCCATGACACCATGGATGGATCACACACCACACAGCCAGCCTGCGGTTGATGCCAACTCCCACCCCAGCCGGGTGTCTCCCAGGGAGACATTAGCATATGCCTGTCATCTCACACGGAAAGGCACAGGGGCTAGAAACACTGACCCAACCCCTGACCCCATACCAGCTTGCTTTCTGGAATTTCCTTGACGAGCTCATGGCAAGAACTGGGCAGCCACCTGCAGGAGTTTCTGGCAGGCACAGCCCCTGGGAGACCCCTGAGCACAGTCTCAGCAGCCCCATCACCATGGATGCACATCCCGTGACCTGCTATTTCCTCTAGTGCAAGTGGGGAACCTCTGCATGACCAAGTCTGGCAGCCTAGAAGATACATTCTGCAAGTGACTGGAGGGCCCTGCCAGACACGCTGCCAGCACTATGCCAGGGCAATATGCTAGGGGACAGGGCCATGTGGGTGCACAACTCTCCTCCGGCAGTGCCACCCTCCTGTCTCTGCAGACAGAAGACATGGCCCGCCCCAGAGGAAAACCCTGCTGGGAAGGAAGGGGTGTCGCGTCCTGACACTGCATGACCCCAACGCTAGAAAGAACCAATGCATGGGGCAGGAATCCCAAGCTGCACAAACCACTTCCTACAAAGAGAACACACAGCCCAGTGCATAGATCTTACCTGTCTTTTAAGGAGAAATACTACAACTCTTATACAAATTCTTCTTGGGGACAGAGAAAGAAGAAACATTCCCAACTCATCTCGAAGGCCGCCATGGCCCTACCTCCAGAAACTGATGAAGGGCATTCCCTGAAAAGATAACTATGAACTGACAGTCCTTATGAACACAGACAGGGAAACCCTGAACAGATACCAAGAAATGTACTCCAGGTACAGAAGGAAGATCACACAAATGATAGAAATACCAATGCAAGAAATTCAAGAATGCAAGAAATTAAAAAATGGATGTGATTTATACTTTCAAAACTAAAGGAAAAAAAATAACACAATCATCTCAAGAGCTACTAAACAGCCTGTGGCAGAGTCCAGCCCTGCTCGGGGACAAGCCTGCAGCTCATCCTTAGCTGGGAGGGAGAGGGGACACCAGCCCTGCCCCCAAAGGTCCTGAGAACCTGGAAGCTGGGCTCTGGAGAAAGCAGAGGTGTGGTGTTCTCCCTAGGATGGGCCTGAAGGCAGAATGCCTACACTCATATCTACACAGGAAAAAGAAAGAAAAGCAGTATATCTAATGAGTAGAGGTCTGAAGAGGCACTTTAAAGAAGAAAATGCCACCCTTCATACCCAAAATTCATCTACAACAGTGGGGCACAGAGGTATATACCTGTCATCCCAGCCTAGCAGCTGGGAGGCTGAGATAACAGGATCTCAAGTTTGAGCCCAGGCTAGGCTACCTAGGGAGACCTGTCTACACATATGTATCAAAACATAAGCAGATGGATAGATAGGTCTGGGAACATCCTGGGAGCTCCCTGGGTTCAATCTCCAGCATCTTGGGAAAAAAAAAGGCCCCAAACCTTTCTCTGGTGACAGAGGCTGCTTCTGACACAGGGAGGTCCTGGTTAGGGACAGCACAGCAAAGCTCAGGACGTGAGGTCCCTGGGTGTCTGCCACTCAACGGTGACTGTCGTTGGAAGTGAAATACGTGCTACAACTGTGCACAATATGTCTTACACTCCAGGTCCTGGTCTAGGTAACAGATGGCCAGGACGAGACTCCCAGCCAGTAGGGGCAGCAGTGTGTCCGACCTCTCTGCACCTCCTCACGAGCAACAAAGGAGCAACTGGGCATGTCACAGTGCTGTCCTTCCCAAATGCCCCTGCTTTCAACTTCCAACTAGCCGTTACCAAGTACCACTTGCCAGCCCTGAGGCACCTGTGAAATGGCCACAGTGGCAGCAGCTGTGGCACATGGGCCACCATGGCCATCCAGGCGCTGGACCCAGTTTCTTCTCACCCCCACTCCATCCATGACTTGCCTACTGGAAGCTCAGAGAAGAAGAAGTAAGTGGCGATTGTTTGAAAAGGGGTCACAATCCGCACGACTTTTACCCCGGAAACTACCTAACGGTGGTCAGTTTCATCTATGAGTGGCCAACAGCGAAAGAATGCAGACTGATAGGAAGCCCACCGTCTATCAGCAGCACCGGTCCTCAGTCCAGCAGCTGCCTGCCCACGTGGAGAGGCTCAGCAGTGTGTGTGGGCACAAGTGCAGATGCTCTGCTTGCCAGGGTGTCTATCCTTACCAGAGCCAACCCTGGGAGCCGGGAGCAGAGAGCATATGCCTTCCAGCTGTGTTCTGCAGTTTCAAAATGGTTCTGGCTACTCCCAGTCCTTTGAATTTCCATATCAATTTCTACCAAACAGCCCGCTGGGACCCTGACTGCATTTTATTATCTATCCCTCTGCTTGGGCAGGCAACATGCCGAAATGTTTGACCAAGGAACATAGCGTAACTCCCCACTTATTTATGTCTCCTAATTTCTCTCAGCCGTTTTTGTAGCTCTCACAGTACAGGTCTTGCAGCACATCTTTCATCAGCCTTATTCTAAGATAACCCACATTACTGATGTGAATGTGCCATTAAACTCCAGTCCCCAACTGTGCTCTCACTGTGCTTAGAAACATGACTTTGTATCATGAACTCTTGCTAAACCAAGTATCATGGCTTCTGTGTAGAGCTTTTAGGCTTCGCCCCACAGATGTCTATGAATAGACGGTCTTACTCTTTCTGTCCCAACTTGTGTGTCTTTTGCTTCTTCTGTTCACTGGTGTGCTGGCCAGAACCAGTGGTGGGGTGCTGACAGCAGCAGTGGCAGGGAGTGTCCTTCTCTGACCCTGAGCCTCTGGACAAGGTGTACAGCCCTTCGCCGCTACAGCTACAGGCCCATGAACACTGCACATCAGGCCCAGGGAACCAACCCCTTACCCTCACTTCCCCAAATGGCTCTGTAATCAACGGGTGATGCCCTTTGCATCAACTGATACAATCACGTGGGTTTGTTAACACAATGAATCAAGGCTACTGATTCTGGATGTTAAATAAACCTTGAATTCTTGGTATAAACCCTGCTGAGCCAAGGTAGACATCTTTTTTACATACTGAGGAATTCCACTTGCTGAAATTCTTTTTAAAATCTCACGTTTATGTTCACGAGTGCTACTGGCCTGTTCTTTTCCTGCAGTATCTTTGGTTTTGGTTTTGGGTTTGGTGTAACATTGATGGAACAAGTGGGTATCTGTGAACTTCTACTTTACTTTTTACCTTGTACAAAACTAGAAATGGATTAAAGACCTACATCTAATAATTAAAGTGATAAACAGAGAAGAAAATACAGGGATATACTTTGTGATTTTGCCTTTGCCTACAATGGGGGACATTGAGAAAGAGAAAGGCGGGTGCAGTAGTGCACACCTATAATCCCAGTTTCTTGGGAGGCTGAAGCAGGAAAATTCTAAATGTGAGGCCAGGCTGGGTAACTCAGCAACACAGTATCTCAAAATAAGGGGTAGGGAAGAGCATCTACTCAGTGGTAGAGAATTTGTCTACAGGTTCTATCTCTCGTCCCACACCAAAAAATAATTTTTAAAATTCTGGAAGAAAAAATAAATTGACTAGATTTCCACAGAAGCCAGGGATAGCAGGTAGCCAGAGCTTCATGCTGTGTGAGGAGTCAGGCCACCAGAGGAGGACCAGATTCCAGGGAGTTCTGAGCCTGTTTTCTTCTCAAAGCAGAGGGTTCGCCTTCATATGACTAAACGTCAGGGAGAGGGAACAGAGAGTAAGCAGGGCAGGACACGACTTCCACTCCACAATCCCACAGCTTCCTGCAGGTCACACTGTCACAGAGGAGGGGACATCAGGCAGTGGGTCCCCTTTGGAGTGGCCCTTCAGCAGAGAAGACCACAGAACAGCTAGCGGAGAGCTGGAGGGTGGGGCACAGATCAGTGCAAGGGAATGGGTGGGGAAGCCACGCCAACAAGGGAACAGGAGCAGGAGCCCATGGAATTCTCATTGCCTGCCAGGCACCTGGGTCGTGTCCTCTATCAGGATTGGTGTGGGGAGGGAAGCCCAGGCTTGAAAATGTGGTCCTCTTCCCTCCTCGGCCCTTGTAACAAGGGCAGACAGATGCAACTCTCCAGAATCCTACCTGGGAACCCAAGGTCTGGTCTCTGCTACGGCCACCACCAAGACTAGCTTGGAGCTGAGGTGAGCTGGAGCCTAGAACAGGGAGCAGGCGCCACGCTCAGCCCTGTGTGGGGCCTCCTGCTCTTCCTGGGCAGGGTGGGGCTGTGCTCAGAGCTCTAGTCACGCACAGACGTCATTGAGATGTGCACGCAGACACAGCACGACACAGCATGGACTGAGCCACCTCACCGCACAGCGACCCTGGCACACCCACTTCTACAGAGGGGTTTTGCCCCAGAAAGTGCTGTTCTTGGCTTCCTGCCCAGTGAGTCTACAGCTGTGGCAGAGCAGCCCGGGACTCCACAACGCTTCCGCAGCATGGCGGCAGGGACTACAGGGTATTTATTACACCATGCGCAGTCCATGCCACAAGGACAGCTCTCAAGCTAGAGCAATCACTGCCCTCAAGGGGCTCAACAGATTGCAGAGCAGTGTCTCCCCTCACAGCCTCTTGCTCACTGGTCTGTGGGAGGTGGATCCCCCAAAGTCTGGTCTCAATACTCCGATCTCTGTGGTACTGCGGATGAAACCCAAGGACCCGCACCTGCTAGACAAGGGCTCTACCTCTGAGCTAGCCGCAGCCCCTAGAACATGTTTTGGGAATGCTGAGGTCTCCTCTAAGCCGCATGTGCTGAGCACCGTGACCAAGGTCGATGGGCTGCCTACACGGCAGCCCTGGACGTGGTCAGGAACTTTTCTCTGGGCAGCCCTCTAGCTTCTCTGGACTAGAACAACTGCCACAATGTAGGGGTTTCCTGGCTTCTAGCAGACTCCTAGTTCAGACACTCCAGGGAGCTCTTACTTAGCACTGAGCACGTCCTTCTCCAGTATACCTGCCCATGCTGCTGCAGGACCACATGGCCTATCCCTGTCACCCAGAATGCTTCCTTGCCTTTGATAACACACAACTGTATCTGAGATTGAGACTATGGTCAGAACAAGCAGAAGCCAGTCCAGGCCCCATCACAGCAAAACCTCCTCCAGTGGCCGTGTTTTGTCATTCCCGAGGAGCGGGCACAAGCACAATGCTGCCAGCACTGTGCCTTCTCAGGCCTCCACCATGTACCTCCAGGAGAGCTCCACCAGCACCAAGCACACCGAGGGACGGGACGGGACAGGACATGCATCTTCAGGTTACAGCCGTCTATCCCCAGAGGGAGACAGTCTGGCTTCATCTTGAGTAGTTAGAAACCAATAACAAAAGTAGGACAGAGCTACTTTACTGAGGAAAACTCCAAAGTCTGCACACATCTTTTCAAGGTCCAAATGTAGACACAGCAGGCACTGTAGGCACAGGACTGGCCCAGTCCCAGTGTTCTCCTCGGGTAAAAGACAACAACGCAAGCCAGCCCAGGCCTGTGGCAGCTGCTAAAGAGGAACCCTGCAAGGTGGATGTGGCCTGCAGCTCAGCAGCTTCTGTCCTGCCCTTCTGCAGCTTGGCCTTTACAGTGTGGCCCCTGCCTGAAACATTACCATCCTTCCATACCTGGCTCTTTGCATGTCAGACACCTTCAACACGGCCTCCCGCACACTGCCGAGACCTGAGCTGGGACAGCAGTCATTCTCTCCACCACCCAGTCAGCTCTGTCAGACCTGCAATCAAAGCTAACGTGGCACCGACTGTAGTGCACACCTGTAATCTGGCAACTCAGAAGGCTGAGGGAGGAGGATCACAAGTTCAAGGCTAGCCTAGGCAACTTAGACTCTATCTCAAAATTTAAAGGGATGTGTGTGTGTGCTGGGAGTGCAGCTCAGTGGTAGCACACTCCTGCATTTGGCCACCAATACCACAAAAGACAAAAACCAAAGAGAACAAAACCAAGTATGACACAGATGCCTCCCTGCTGAGGGCTGCTGTGCCACCCCTGACAGACCAGCAGAGGCCCTGCTCTCTGATATCTTATGGAAGGATGTTTCGGGGTTCCGGGGCTCCCACCTGTGTTAACCATGTGGACAAGAGATACTATGGGCCCAAAGCAGGCAGCGCAGCTCCCATCTCAGCAGGGGCTGGCCTGCTCTCTCAAGGTAAACGCACATCACACCCTCCTATTTGGGGGGCAACTCCAACACTCTCTGGGGAGTTTTCAACAGATAAAAGCAACAGTTACCCAAGATGAAGACCAGGAAAACCTGAAGCTCAAGGGCAGTGATGGGAGCCGCAGAAACAGGAAGAGAGCCCTGAGCTGCTGCATGGCTGAGCAGCCCCACACATGGTGCCCTACCTTTCAGTGCGAGGCTGTGTGTAGGGAACATAATCCCATCTGAATCCCAGGACACAGCCCAGGGAGGTAAAGGAGGTGGAGTTGGTGGTGCTCCAAACTGGGTCACTCCTCAGCTCCACAGCAGCCCACGGGAGCAGGGAAGTTGGCTCATGTGAGCGACTCAGGCCCTGAGCTGTGTGCATGCTGGGAGTAGCTGGAGCTAGAAACTGGTTGTATGTGTGGAGGTAAGACAAGGCCAAAGTGCAAGCTACCTTAGTCTTGACAAAAGCACCCTGCCTGGATGATTCAGTCATCAGTTGCTAGGCAACCTTTGTGTCTTATGATACTAACTTTGCAAAGGTACAAATACTTGCCCCTGCTGTTGTTGTTCAGGTCCTCTTACCCACTTGGGAGAGAGACCTCCACCTGACCCAGCTCTTGTCTCTTGTCTATCTTTTCCTCATTCCCACTGCTGTCCCTCCCCGGGGTACACCGGAGTACACCAAGAGACCGAGTTCCTACATGTGCACTTCGGGGCCAGACTCACAAAGCCCTCCAGCTTGGCAGTGCAGAGAAGGTAGGGAGCCATCTTCTGCCCTTCAGCTCCACAAGGGAGACCTGAAATCACAACTCTGACCAAGGTTGGCTTGACCTACTCAGTGTGAAATGGTTCCAAGCTTTGGGCTCTCAACTACTGGAACTGCCACTGCCAAGGTCCCACCTGCCCTAGGGCAGGCATACACTTCCCCTCAACAGCTCCGTCCTCTCATGATCTTGGACACCCCCACCATCAAAGCCATGTGGGAGCCTAAGGATCTGCAGGCATGTGCAGCACCCACCACTGCCTGCCTAGAAGCATACAGTGCTGGCTGAAAACAAGCCTATTCTAGCACTGTAGGACTCACCACTCCCGTGCAGGGTATAAGGTGCTCCAGATGAGCACGAGGGGAAGACAGTGGGCATGTTGCCCAGGCACCCAAAGGTCTCAAGGCTCCTCTAGTTTTTCTGTCTACATAGCATGAAGCACACCTATGTTCACACACTGCTTCACATTTACCAAAACAAAGTGAATACAGGACTCGGTTCATTAATTTTCATATGTGCAATTTCTGCTAACCTTATTATACTCTAAGACCCAAGTATTACCAGAGAGCCTGAGCTGCAGCAGGGCTGGGCAGGGCAGGAGTTCAGGCAGAAGTAAGGGGCAGCAGCCTGTGCACACTCTTTCACAGCCCAAGCACCAGCAGGAAGAGAGGAGGAAGCAGCTCAAACCAGCTGGCAACTAGGAACTGCAAAAGGTAGGTGACACAATCTGCCAGGGTGAGTGTGGATGGCCTAGCATACAGGCAGCCAAGGAGAAGCACCAAAGACAAGTCAGGATGCATGACCACAACCTGCTTTCTGTGGGCTTGTGGGGTCCCCTGCTCCAACACAGAAAGCAGGAACCTGTAACGCAGTGCAGCCAGGACTTGGTGATGGCCACAGAATAACACACTGCAAAGCCTGAGGCTGAGCCCATTTGGTCAGACTCTAAGTTCATGCTCAGAGTACCACCCTGCATTGCAGGAGCGGAAATACACACCCGACTGTCACCCCCAACTGGTACTGCAGGACAGGAAGTGCACACTCCAGAGCTGTCATTCCCCTACTCTTTAGCACTGCAGAACAGGAAGTATGCACTCTAGAACTGTGTCATCCCCTGACCCACTAGCACTGCAGGACAGAAAGTGTACAACCCAGAAATGTCACCCCTCCTCCACTCCTGACAGAAGCATGCATCCCATAACCATGTCATGCAGCATCCCCCTCCCTCCATATTCCCTGGCACTGCGGGCAGGTGTAGAACCTGGTATTAAAAACACATGATAAAAGCTGGGCTTACTGCTGTATACCTGTGATCCCAGCACTCTGGTAGGCTGAGGCAGGAGGACTGTGAGTGACTCTCACCTAGAACAACTTATACTTTTTTGAAAATCAGTCAGTCACTCTGACTGGGTATGTGGCTCAGTACAAAGGCCCTGTGCTCAATCCCTAATACTTAAAACAACAAAAGTAAGCATATAGGAAAAAATTGTAATTTAGATTTACAATCTGTCTTCCTATTCACATTCAGAAAAAACAAAACTTAAATGTGACATTCTCAGCAGCGTTTATAGGCAGGATAACTGTAAATATTATAATAGAAATCTGAAGGCCCAGGGACAGAAACAGGCAGCCAAGGCAAGACCACCTCAGAGAGCAGCCTATACCCAAACGTACTAGGAGAAGAATGGCCTCGGCAGGCATGGCTCTGCAAACACCCACCCCATGCCTACAGGACAGGCTCCCCCAGGTACTGCCAGACTGCGCATATGCGGTACCTCCAGCCCTGTCTGGGACAGGCAGGCAGGGACAGAGAGGAGCCAGGAGTTACCTTTTTCCCGGTTTGTTTCTCCACCATGTCGTTGCTGAGAGGAAAGTCTTCTTGCTGTGGTGTTTTAGAACACCCACTCTTGGGCATCGTTCTGCTTCCTCACCTGATCTTCATTTACACCGCCATCGCCTCATCGTCAACCGTCTGCTTCAAGAGAGAAGAGACATGGTCAGACACCGGGGGACACAGAGGCCACTCAACACCTGGCAACCCTCCCATGGACCCCGGTGGACAGACCACAGAGGGCACAGCAGCTCAGCACAGGGCTAGCAGCAGTCCTTCCACATGAGGGTACCCAGGCTCCAGGAAACAGCCCAGGAAATACCCCAGGAGCTGCAGGCAGGAGCAGTGGCAGGAACAAGGTGGGCAGAAAGGGCCTGTAGAATACTGGCTGCTCTGGGTGGCAGGTGCAGATGCTTCACAGCTTGGGCCCCTTTAGCACAGGCCTTGACCCAGACAGGGGTGCTGAGCAGGCCCAGGGATTCTGCCCCTGCTCAGTGCTGTGAGGAGACAGATGGAGGCCCTCTCTTCTTCCCACAGCCAAGGTCACAACACCCAGAGCAAGGGCCTGCTCTCAGGCCTGGCAGATCTCCTCTCACAGGCTCAGCTTCTACCACCCACTCACCAGCTGGACCCAGCCTTGTCCCTCACACCCCAAGCAGAAGGCTGGAGGAGAATCCCTGCTTTTCATAAAGTGCTGAGCTCAGGGGGCTAATTCCACACTTCTTTTTTTCCAGATAAAACAATCTGGCTACACGTGCAGGCATGTGACAGCTCTGACAGAGTCATGGGCTTGCCCCTTCATCTGGGCCTGAGGCTCCAGCCAGTTTCCAAAAAACTTATGGTATGTGCTATACAGAACAGGTACTTCATTTTCTGTATGTTATAACATTTCAGTGTCTTAACAGGCTTAGTGGCCAGGGACCAACGCCTAGAGAGAGCAAGGGCTGCAAGCCACTGGAGGTCTCGATATAGTACAAAGAAAGCCTGCAAGGGGTATTTAGAGTAGCAGGTCCTAAATGACCTACTCTGCTATGACTCCCCTTGCTCCTGTCCCGCTTCCTGGCCACCAACAGGTACCTTGCTCCTGTCTCCTCTGTGGACACGGCCCTCTGGTCTCTCATGGGCGGGCCATGCCTCACCTTCTGTCATGTAAGAGGGAGAGGGAGAGGTCTCCCCACACATGTGCTCTCCGCCATTGGATAGAGACCAGTTTGTGCCAACCACAAACTGGAATGTGCCTTGGTGCCATGCTGAGGTATGTTGGATGGTGACAGACCTGCTGGGTCTGCAGCCTCTATCATAGAGTGTGGCCCTGCTCCTTGGCTCTTCCTAGCTGTCATCAATCCCACACTGGCTGTTTCTGAGGTCATACTTCTTCTATATCAAATCTCAAGATCCTGCCCTTTTTTCCCTAATAACTGATAAAAGCTCACAAACTACCCTCTTGCTGTTTAACCAACCTAAGAACACATCCAGAGACCTGGCCTCCACTGCAACCCAGGACAGCGGCTATGTGGCTATGTGGCCAAGGCCTGAGATAATTTCTCAGTGGGGAACTGTGAATTCTATATTTTTCAATTTCCAACATAAAACTGGGGGCACAGTCTGCTGAAACTGTATTTTAAGCACCTGATGTAGGGACCACTAGTAGAACTTGTGGCTGTCTGTATACTCAGCAGCAATATGCAAGTAGAACTTTAAAGACCATCCAAATGTTGAGTTTTAAGAGGTCCTGCTTGCCTGTCCTCAGGAGGGCACAACCAAGCACAGCTGTCATGGGATCGCCCCACTGCAGTGAATATGCAGACACCATGCCCTGACACCCCAGCGGCTTGCAGCCAAAGAAAGTGTTGGAGCCATCCCCTCTCCAGTTCTTCACTGTTTTGCTTGATGTGCCTGGTAGAGCTCTGCCTGGTGATTGCTAGGTGAGAAGAAGTTGCTGTCTAAAGCCAGAAAGCAGGCCTCGCGGGACAGGAGTGTGCTACATCTCGCTCTTGGACACCCAATCCAGGATGTTTGACAGTCCTGCTTTTACTGCTGATAAGCGCCAGGGCCATGAGCTTTGGTGGCACCACACTGAACAGACTGGGACCCTCTTCTGCACCAGAGATGCTCCCAGAACCCAGCACTGCCCAATGCTTCTCCTTCTACCACTCCTCAGGGCAATTCTCACAGTGCTGGGGGTAAACCTAGGGTTCCTACAATTAAGGCTTTGTGGCAAATTTTTCAAACCAACCTGCTGATACACCTGGGAAGAAAGCCTGGGTGATGCCATACCCAAGAGCTATACACAGCCAACAGCCTGGTGCCCTATGACATCCATGTACACCACCAGCCAAGGATGCCCACTAGCCAGCCAGGGTACTTCATGCAACTAAGCAGTATCAAGAGAAAGGAGCAGATTTTCCTTCCCAACAGGAGGAAAATCAACTGAACAACCATATGAGGTCAGAACACAGCACAGAGACATCAGGACTTCAAGCCCCCATGACTCTGCTCAGATGCTCAGGAAGGCATGGACCAGACAAGAAGAGGGGCCACAGCCAAGCAGGACCCAGAGACAACTCCTTGTTCTTCTAGTGGACTCCAGAGAACTTCAATGAGAAAACAGAAGATTCGGACGCTGACAAATGGAAAAAAAAAAAGAAGAGTACTCGAGAGCCAACCTCTAGAAAGTTCACTGTCACAGAGAGGCAAAGACTGATGAAAGAACCAAATATCACAGGATAGCCTTCCTCCAACAGGTTGACAGGGGGATGGACATCACAGGGTGCCCCTCCTCTGATGGCTGACCAGGGGCCAGATGCCCAAGTAGGCCAACACTTTGCCTGTCCTCAGCCCACATGCTGGGAAGGGCAGAAGCAGCCAGGTCCTTGTCAGCGAGAGATCAGATCACCAGAGATACTTGTCACCAGGAATGCTAGTGACAACAGAGCTAATCAGAACAAGACTTTTCAGACTGAAATTCTCTGTTTGGCCGCATCACCACCAGCACAGGAGCAATTAAGGTGGCTTTAAGCATACAGAAGTCAGTGCAACCCTTCCAGTGCCTTTCCTAAGGAAATCAGGGGAGGCTACACTGGTTCTGGCAGATCTAGCCTGTCAGGGCCAAGCGCTAAGGATGGATTTAAAATTTAATGCTCAAGGGAATTTAAAATATCAGAAGAAGGCTAGTATTTTGTGACATCTAAAACGTATGGAATTAGCATCTCAGTGTCCATAAATAAAGCTCTACTGGGATATAGCCCAGCCATCTGAGATCCTTGCCATGGCAGCACTGGGGATAGAACCCAAGGCCTCAGGCACACAGAGCACACCCTTCCCAGACCCTCCCAGCCCACCTAGATTCTTGTGGCCTGCCTTCCCTGCAAGGGCTGTGGGGTCTCCTGCAGGTCATCTCAGGCCCTGGTGTGGGGGTTCTCGCAAGTGTTCGTGAGGTTGGGGTATTTTTATGATAGTACTAAGACGCCATGTGCCCTTCCCATAGTGTTGGTGCAAGCACTGGCAGGTGACAAGGAACAGAGATGAGGTCTTCTCAGTCACACAGGGTCACAGTCACATGACTGCAGCAGAACCTATATCATGCACAGCTATGCTTAATAAAGCAGTAAATACTGCAAATTTTATAAGATTGCAAACCTTGAGTCTTTGCCCTTCCAATATTCTGTGGCAAACAGAAAAATGCATGAAGTACTTCTGGTGGGTGTCACAGTGCACCCTGAGTCGTGAAGAAAACCATCTGTGAGTGTGAGCTGCCATTTAAACTGGCTGTGTTTTATTTTTTTAATTTTAAAGAGAGTAGTACATGAGACACAAACGAACAAAAAAATAGAACAGTAGCAGCATACCAGTATCACAAACATAAACAAATCAAAGCAAGAACATTCAAAGTGATACAGGGTCTCAAGACAAATTAATATAAATCAGCAGTGATTGTTACATTGCATATCGCTATCCTCAACTACACTGCTCAGATTATCAGATGTAAGAATGAAAGATTGCTCGAACCATTAAAGAGAATAAGAAAACAATTCTTCAATAAAACCTCAGAGATAATACAGAGTTTCACTAGACAAGATGGTAGGTAGGGGTTCACCACTGTAATTACACTGCATATTGTTACCTTCAAATCAGTGGCTCAGACCACCACACACAAGCATGCACAGTCGCTCAGAACATAAAAAATTGTGAGCATTAACTGTTCATTTCAATACACCATCAGACAACAGCAACACAATCATTGCAGCTATTCATATATATATTTATGTTTTGCCTTCCTTCTTTCTTTACCTTCTTTCCCTCATCCCAGTTGTTCCTTCCTTTGAGCAATTTCTTTCCCTTTCCTATCATCTATTGTACATTTTGAGTTTTACCTAGTCTTTCAGGTTCCTACACCAAGGAGACAATATGATGTTTACACATGTGGGTCCGATTTATTTCACTGATGAGTACGGTCTCTAGTTGCATCCATTTACCTAAAAAAGCCTCAAGGTTATCTTTTTTAATAGCTGAGTAATACTCCATTGTATAGAAATATCACAACTTTTTTATCCATTCCTCAGTGGATGGGCATCTGGGTTGTTTCCAAGATTTAGCTGTAACAAATTGTGCTGCTATAAACATGGGTGCATATATATCGCTGTGGTATGATGTCTTTAATTCTTCTGGGAAAATACCCAGAAGGGTAATAGCTGGGTTAAAGGGAACTTCTAGTCCTAGTTTTGTGAGGAATCTCCAAATTGATTTCCACAGTGGTTTCACCAATCTACACTCCCACCAGCAGTAGAGTAGGGTTTCTTTCTCCCCACAGCCTCTCCAGCATTTGTTATTGGTTGATTCCTTGATGATATAAACTGGCTGTGTTTTAATGGAACACAAGTTTTTTATTTTATTTTATTTTTGTTTTGTTTTTCTTTCTGGAACCAGGAAACAAACTCATGACCTCGCACTTGCCAGGCAGGTGCTGTGCCGCTGAGCTAAATCCCCAGCTCTGGAACACAAGTTTTAATGAAAGACCATCTCTGCAGTCCACAGATGAGTACTAAGGACTGGGAGCCTGGTAGTCACAGCCACTTCTCAGTGTCCACAGGGGCCGCTGTCCTTACATGAAATGGCATGGTGTTTGCACAAACCCACACACATCC